CTTACCATATTGAGTAACAAACTCCCCACTTCAGGCACATGTAGTATACAGAACATGTACGACAGTGAAACCTCTGAAAAGGACCCTCTGATAAAGGATAGTTATACACTTGGCCTGCCTCTACTTGATTACTTCCGAGGGTAATGATGTCGTTCCAAAACTTCACATCTCACAAAAGTTTGATGTACCTTTCCAGTCTTGATGTCCCTGGCGTATATTCCTTCGTTTTCGTCGAGAGGAATGGCCTTTTGCTTGGTGACCACCTCAACCTCTACCGAGGGGACGTACTCCTGGGGCCCTCTGATCATCCAGCGATCGCCCGGCTGGCGAGACGCTCCCTGGAAAGAAGGAGAGAGAGATAATAGTTTATCCAATGAGAGAGGAAGAGAAGGGAGATATAACTGTGCAGAGCCAGGGCCTGGCAGGGCTGATTATGAATGCAAAGCATGGCTCGAATTGCAGCTGTTAGCAATATAGCAACCCACTTCTGAGAGAAAACAGGAGTGCGAAATTTCGTGGATTTACAAATATGTAAAGCATTGAGGGCACCAATAGTTATAGAAAACTGCGCAATTGAGATGAGTAGGTGGACTCGCTTGGTGCAGGAAGTGGAGCATGTGCCTGGAATGCAGGCAATTAACTATTGTTCCCTCTGTGCCTAGCTCACAGTGTCAGGGTCGGTATGCTCCTCAATGGCCTTCATAATGAGCCCCTCATCCTCCCCTAGAACATAGACATTCTGAATTCCCTTCTCCAGTCTCTCGCCGGGCTCCAGGAAGAACGACTTCTCTCCCTTCACCAGCTTCCTCTGGCCCAGCTGGGGTTTCCCGTCGCTGCCTACAGGGTCCAGGATGACGCAATACTGCCGGTTGGTCAGTGTGGTGATGTTGGTCACACCTACTACCTGTATGGGGAGGAGGGTACAGTGTAACATGGTGGGGAGGAGGGTACAGTGAAACATGGTGGGGAGGAGGGTACAGTGTAACATGGTGGGGAGGAGGGTACAGTGTAACATGGTTGGGAGGAGGGCACATAAGAATGGTGACAAAGGGGATGAAAGAAGAAAGAAGAGAGAGAAGTAGCCACCTCTTCGTAGACATCAGGAATGTGTGCCTCAGTGTCCTCCATCTTGATGAGCCATTCCTCTCCGTTCCTGTGGGTGACTCCATTGCGGTCGGTGAAGGTCCGCGTGGCTCTCATGTGCAGGGCAACCTACACCACACAAGCATGCCTATACATTCAGCACCACATACCATCATGCCTATATATACATTCAGCACCACATCACGAAAAAAAACAACTCGCTCTGCTAAGATTTTGTTGAGCAGTATGAGCAATTTGCACCACACTCCAACTGTTGCAGTAAAGAAACACTGAGGGAACTCTGCCCAGTTCAATGTCTCCAACTAAACTTCAGAACTTTAGCATAGCTGGCCTGACTTATATACGTATCAAACACAGTGGATCACTTACTAAGTGACTGACTGACCTTCTCAGTGAGGACATAGGCATCCACCAGCTCCACCACCTCCTCATAGGCTCCAGGAAGGTAGGCCCCAATCTTCTTGACCAGCCACTCTTCTCCCGTCACTCTGGGGTTCCCGTCTCGATCCTGACAAGGAGAAGTGGAACAGGAGGAGGAGGAGAGAGAGGGGCAGAGATAGCAAGTGGAATAAGGACAGAAAGGGTTATAAGGCAGTTGAAAACGGAAAACGAGGAGAGTTGAAAAATTCATCATTAACCGGCAGGGAATATTTGAGAAGGGAAATACTGGAAGAGAGAGGAAAGAGGTATATAGCTGTTCGTGAAGTGTACCAGAGTCTCCTTGCGGGCCCTCAGTTTAATGGCCTGGTTTGGTTTGATGACTGTGGCCCTGATCGTCTCCTCGACAACCACCTCCTTGTATGGAATGTAGGTCCCTACAGAGTGGGGAAACCCTGCTAATAAACACACCCCGAAATAAGGACACTTCACAAACCAGCACACTTTTCTATATTGGTTTCACACTACACATAATTATTGTACAGAGGATATGCAGAAACATTATATGTAAATAGTAGATACAGTGATGTAAGAACGGGGCATTCTAAAAATAGTCACAGCAGCATGAGTTGGCATGGTAAAATTTGGGGAAGTCTTCTAACAATGACACAGCAGCGGCTGAAGGGAAGCTGGTATTTTAATTATACCCACACCAAAATGCATGAAAATGATGTGGTCTGTAAACGCAGGAAGTAAAGCCACAGTGAGCTAGCTTGTCACAACTATAGAGCTCCCAGCTTGTGAAGCTAGCCTGTCACAACTATAGAACTCCCAGCTTGTTGATTTCACACACACTTGCATTGCCCGATACCCTCTAATTCATGCTACATCACACTGTGTCAGGTCACAGGCTCCGGCAACATAATAGTCCTCCACCCAGAGAGTGGGTGAGAGCTAACCTGGGCCCTCAAACAGCCACTCGTCCCCAGCTGTCCTCTTGGACCCTCCTTCCTCCACAAAGTCTAGGACGGCTCGCAGACGCAGTGCAGTGTTGGCCGGGACCACCTTCAGCTGGGTGACTATCTGCTTCAGGACCTCTCCCGGGAAGAGAGGAAACGGGTCCTGTGCCACCCGTATCTCCTGGTCTGCGTGGCGCAGCTTTATCTGGAGAGGGAGAAGTGTATCATTATCATATAGATGTAACAATAGACCATGTGATGCCAATGTACAGGGAGAGCTTTGAGAGGTAGAAAACAAACTCGCTGTATTAATGTTAAAATGGAGCGATTCCCTGTCTGCCAATAGAAATCTTTCACATACGGCTTTCAAGTTATCTTTCACACATTATCCCTTTTTTAAAAATCTTTTCACATAATGGAAACGACGTGTACATTATTCAACAGTGGTGCACCTAGAACTGAACGCTTCTCATGAAGGAACGGAGGAGTATTCTATTCAGCAACCCCTGACCCATACACAGAGGAACACGTACCTCCATTGACGCTCTACATCCACCATTAACTACAGCTCCCTACTGTACCAATGGGCTCAATGAGAGACCTCGCCAGTGAATGGGGGTGAATCTTACCTGTCCGTGTGTATCGAACACCGGTTTCCCGTCCTTGTCCTTCATGGCCGGGTTCTCCACCACGCAGTAGTGCCTCGGGGGAACCACTATCATCTTCTCTGGTCCAACTATCACCTGCAGATGGGGAACAACACACACTCAGAAAATTGTATACACCTGCATACTGAATAGCCATCTTAGCTTTGCAAAATTACAACTTTTCAGTTTTGAATGTGGTCGCGATAGGCAATTATGTGGCACATAAGTGTAAAATAGCAAAAAATCTCCCCATTTCATAAAACTCGTGCGGAATATGTGAAAGTGATTAGTTTATGGACAAACGGTTTTCAATTTCGTGATAATGCCCTCGCGTGACTTGCCCAGGATTTTCAGCAGGTTACGACAAACTTGAAAAAGCCATAATGCACACAAGCAGAGTATTGCGAACCAGCCTTTAAGTGAGCTAAAATAATGTACGTACATAAGAGCTAAAATAGGCATGTACATAATGGTTATGCATGCCTCGTTGCATATCTTGGCATGAGCTATATACACACAATGATAGGACTCATAAGTGAGTGACCTTTGCTACTGCCCTTACAGAGCTTCTGAAATCTCATGGGTAATGCCCAACAAAACCAGATTCATCCTCCAGACGCAACACAGCAGCTCATGTATCAACTTTAACCTCTACAGAGTGGGAGGGTCGTGATGCAGAGGTCTGTGATGCCTATACGAGCTCCACAGTGTATGGCGTGCAATATATGGGTGCAGATGTATAGATTCTGAAAATGTGTTCGTACTGGCATGTGGTTTAGCATTGACTGCGCGGTCACTAAGGGCAAATGTGTATATTTCCCAACAATATTACAAACAAATGACGGCTCAATGTAACGGAAGGCCTGGGAACATACACGCACTCGCTTTTTCCATCTCTGCTCAGATACCAGCGCAACTAGCTACGCTCGTGATATCGCTTGTGCAGATGTAGCTCGATATTATTACCTTATCGTTGTCTTGTCGGGAAGGTGTGCCGACCACCACCAACTGTGTCACGTGTGCTGTTCTGGTCCAGGACATGTATGTAGTAGTAGGGAGGATGCGGTAGATGCTCTTCCCTCGTCTTCTTTGATCTGTCCATGCTGGCTGAGTTCTCCACTTGCTAGCCCACAGAGTCACAGAAAGAGAGAGAAAGAGAGAAAGAAGAAAGGGGGAGGAGGTCAGGCATATTTCGGAGGTGTTCTGCCTGGCGTTGCACGGTTGAATGACTCAGAGCATAGCTCATCGTGTGGGGAGGAGATACTATGTGCTCCCGTCGTGCAGGATTAGGGGGCGAATTTTACGGCATGCGGGAGGTATTCTCGCTAGCCAGACTCTCTCGGGGGAGTCTGGCTAGCGAGACTATGCGTTCGCGTGCCTGCACAACGCGATTTCCTGATTTCGCGGGTGGTTGTAGCTAGCAACGTGTAGGATGGGAAAAACAGATGTTGCAAGTTCTCACCAACAACAGAAGATATTTCTCAAGTCCAGGAGTTGAAACCAAGAGTTCTCCACTGCAGATTACTGCCCGACAGTACAGACGAGTAGGGATGACACAGCAACGTAACGGCGTGTCGCGCGGTCGGTAAGCAGACTTCGTGTACGCGCTTGCGCATAAACCGCCCCTGACACGCCCTCCTTGTACTTCCGGTGTGGGCGTGGATATCAAGCGACAAGGGGGCGGGGACAGATTATGGGGCGGGGCCAGGTAAGCTGAAACCCACGTGTCGTCGTATGCACAATGCTGGGTCGATGGCAGCAGGCCTGAGACGTCGTCTGGGGTGCAGAGAGAGGCCAACCTGCTCGTGACCCTTCTCGACCTCTCCGACTCCTTCTCGCGCAGCTCCAGCTGGAGAACCCGCGCAGCAGGTGGATAAAAGTGCCCAAATGTCGTCACACACGCAGTGTGTCTGTGCTTTTCGTGTGTGCAGCTGAGCGTGGCCCAGTGTCTGGATAACGTGACCACCTTTCTCAACTCCTACCTACTTCTGCAGCAGACAAACAGCGTCGGAGTCTGCCTGTGTCATCAGGGAGGGAGGTGAGACCAAAAGGCTGCCTCATTAGCTGTGTTGTGTGTGTGTTTGCTGCAGTCGGATGGTGTACCCAGTGGCAGGGAGAGAGGAGGCCGGGCTCCAAGAGACAGAGGAGACCACAAGTGGAAAGTACGAGCCTCTGGTCCACATGAATCGAGTCCTGACTGAAGAGATTCGCAAGACTGTGACCGAAACTGCTAGTGAGCCTTTGGACTTTGCCATGCATTTTCTTATGTAGTGTGCCTGACACTTGCTGGGTAGATATATAGTTGCTTTCAGGCAGATCTTGTTTGTCGATTAGTTTATTTTGTCTAAATTTCTTGCAGGTCACCCTGTTCACAGTACTTCAGCGCTATCGGGAGCACTTAGTAAATGTCTCTGCTGTATCCCCACCACACTCAATGCAGACGTTGATAAAGTTCCATCGTACAGAGAGTTTACTGTTATAGTTTGACCCCGTCAGGGAGGAAAAATATATATATCTGTTTAGTGATTCAGACTAATAATCTATGGAGGAAAAATATATATATCTGTGCAAGAAATAGAACCTAGGTAGTGATTCAGACTTAATTTTTGGCGAAGACATCCAGAGGCGTTGTAGGGAGGCACCACTAGGAACCAAAGTCAACTCACGCATACTAGTAAGTTTCTTTGAATGTAGCAATTGTCTATCAAATGTGTGGAGCCTTTCTGCAGGTAATAATGTCATCGCAAGACACCGCGTCACAGTATGTACCTGTAATGAACTGCATCTTTGCTGCCCAAAAACATGTTGGTCGCCCACCTATACGTATTGGACTGCATCGGTAAATTCTGTGTCTTTTTCGCACACAGAAAATAGTGATCGACTCGTGCGTCTTATGGCAAGACTCAGGATTTCTACAGCAAGTATATAATTATAGAGAACTCCTCCCCCATTACATAGGTTTTCATTGTCTCTCTATTTTTCCAGGCTTCAGATATCACAGGTGGTATTTATATAAAAACTCCAGAGCCTGCAGGCTTACTGCAGTTTCTGATAGTAAGTTTTTCTCCGTAAAGAGGGGATAATATCCAAAATGGCTACATTAGAGTAGCTATAATATTGAATGCTGTGGCATAGCCTCACCGTAATGTGAGTGAATTTCTGTTGTGATTGTAGTGGACGTTTCTACCGGATGAGACCAGCAGAGATAAACTCATGCTGCCATCAGCGGTAAAGGTGGACTACCATGCCTCTTGTTTCTGCCACCATCGACTGGTGGACGTCGGCCATGTCTGCTCTGTCTGTCTCTCTAGTGGGTGTGCCCCTTCAATTTACCTGCCATTTTCTATTCGTGTCACATAATTATACTTACCTGTATAATTGAATGTTGATTGCAGTTTTCTGTCAATTCACTCCGATCTGCTCCATGTGCCAGTAAGTATAGAGAAGTAGTGTGGTGCTGATCACTTTACTTTGTCTTTCTGCAGAGCACACTTCAAGCTGCCCAACTTGCCTCTGGTCAAGGCTGGAAAGTCGAAGAAGAAAAAGAACGCCAAAGTCAGAGACCACGGCCAAGCATAGCAAATTTCCAGTGTTTTATATTGTCCTGTCTTTTTTTTTTTTTATAATGCATGAATCACTACTGTCTTTCGTTTATAATCAGCAGGTTATGTCAATTTCTTTTCAATAATGATAATACAAAAGCACGGTTAATGAAAAACAAAAAATTGGGAAATGAACAGTCTTGTGATATTATTATGTATAATGTTCAAGCAGCCATGAACGATTCAAGGTCAAAATAGTCTGGATCAAAGCTTGAATCACTTCCAACGGAGAAGGGAGACAGCATCTTTTCCAGCTCTGAATCTGTCATGTCTGAGAAGTTGGCTACGAGACAATCATTAACAGGGGCAGAGTCAATAATAACAGGGGAGGTGGCAGTAGACTCTGGTATGAGGGGAAATGGAACGGAATCGGAAAAACTGTCACTGGATGATGAGAACATGGGCGGGGTCAGTAGGGGGCTGGGGTTCAGAATATGGCTATCGGGTTCCAGTTGGATTGGTGGGTCCCCCACCACAATTGGCCCCTGATTGGTCCCCCCTGGTTGGCCCAGGTCATGTGACTGGGAACCAATGTCGACATCAGCGGCCAGTGCTGATCCACCTGATGCGATGATGTCATGCCAGGAGTAATCTTGCAGCAGGTGAAACAGAGAATCAAACTATAGACACAAAGAAAAAGTGACTCAAAATGGTAAAGGACGAAGGCTTCTGAGCTCACTTCACTGTCACCAGGACTCGAGCAAAGAGATCCCCCAGTATCCGCTTCTGCTGCAGAGAAGTGAAAGGTACTGCTGACCCGGATACCGAGGATGTCCTCTCTGACAACTTGAGTGAGCTGCCGTTACTACTATTGGCTGAGGTGGAGGTGGAGGTGGTGTGGTGTGACTGCTGCTGGACAAGCTGAATCTCCAGTTCCTGTTTCATAACATCTGTTTTCTGTCTGAGTGCCAGGTTTTCCTGCTGGAGCCTCTCATTCTGTAATGCACCAGTGAAACATCATCTTATCCTCACACATCCTAAGTGTACCTTTCGACATGCTTGGCCAAGTACTACATACGTACATACCTTGGCTTCAAGTTCTGCCACTCTTCTTTCCAAGTCCTCAACATAGTTTTTCCTACGGTCTCTGGCGTTCTGAGCTGCTATCCTGTTCATCAGTTTTCTGTGTCCACAAAAGAAAAGCAAAGTGTGATTTACCGGAGCCGGAGACTAATGAAAACACACCTTTTCTCCCTCTTCTGATCATCCGTCAGCTCCTCACTCTCTCCCCTCTTCCTCTTCCTCCCGCTGTAGCGTGGAACCTGTTGATTTTGTTCGAGCGAGGACGGAGGAGGGCTCCCCGAATGACGCTTCAGCGGTGAACAAGCACTGTCCGGAGAGCCAGCTTGCTGCGGCGGTAGATCGTGAGGTCTCGGCTGAACCACCGCACACGGTGTTTTCCTCGCAGCGCCGTTCTTGGCCAGGAGCCGTAGACAAAGTAGGAGTAGTTCAGGAGTTAGCTTCGTCAGCGCAGCCGCAGCGGCGACACCGGCCTTGGATTTGTACATTTCAGCTTGATCCTCCATGATTCGACCACAGGGTGAGGTTTTTCACAGAGGGTTTTCATTGTTTTTTTGTTAGCTACTTTCTTCTATGCTATGCCTCCATTTCAGGACATCTGCCTCCGAGGACGGCTAGGGAGCCACCGATCTTCCAGCCTTTTGTAGTCTTCTTTGTTTTGCTGCTCGGTCGCGGTCGGTCCGGGGATGACGAAACTTGCATGATGCAAACGTGCTGATTTGTCACAATCTGATTGGTGGAGCGAGTCATGTGCCTGCTAGAGAATTTGGCGCGAGTTTGGTGCGAAAGCACATGCGCGCGCATCGCAAAAAGCATGCTAGAGTAGAGTAGAGTGGCGGAGAGATGGATATAACCGCTCTTGCTGAGACTTTCACTACCTTTCTTCTCGAGTGCACATCAAAGAGCAGGTCCCAAAAAGGGTCTTTCGACTACGAGCTGAAAATTGGCGAGAGAAACGTGGCTATTTCTGCCACCCTCCTACCTCCACTTGTTCGTTCCCCATTCTCCGAGATAACTGGTCCCCTCCCCTGCCCCACTGTGGTGCTGGGATCTCCACACCACCAACAAGATAGGGAGAAGGAAGAAGATGAGTCCCCGGAACTGAGGCCAATTCTTGACCAGTTTTCTAATTCATTTCTCGTTGAGGACTCCCGTCGCGAAAGGAAAGAGGGAAGAAAAGAGGTTGGACGAAATAAACAGGATCCTGTTCAAGTTTCAGAGAAAAGAGCGATTTTTCTTGGTTCGAAGCTGTTCCGAAAACGGGTGTACCTAAAACAAGAATCCCGTTCCACCCTAGAAGAGTCACAGTCTGTTGTCAGACAAGCTAATCTCGGTGGACTCGCTCCACTTTCACTCGACCTTGCTCCGAGGCTTTGCCTCCTATTACCCTCGTTGGGAGTAGATTGCAGGAAGCGGGGACTTACCACTCGGCCCTTTGGGTACCTTGTACACACACCCGAAGGAGCTGTCCAGGAAGATATTGTGGGGCTAGGATGCACACATGAGCCTGAAGGAGGAGGGTTTACTGTGTGCGAGAGAGAGGGGCGGGAGAGGCTGGAGCAAAGAGGGACCGGGCATGAAAATTACACCGGGCGACTTACAAGGAAATGCGTTTGCCAGGTATGCCATCACGTCTTTTGAGATTTGCTCAACTGGTTGCGAGGCAGGGATGATGGTGGAATTTTCTTGGGACAACCCGGAAACCTTTTCTCTCTCCACCACCCGTGTTTGGCACGGAGGGTGTGCTCCATATTGCGGTTGGAGCCTGGGAATCTTCAGGCCACTATCTCGACGTTTTCAGAGCTGCAGACTCTTGTCGGGTGTGTGTGAGGCGGTGTGCGATGGGAGGAATGGTGGGGGCGATTTCCCAGAGGAAGAGGGAGAGGAGGTGCTTACGAAACGAGAGGAACCTTTGCTCATTAACAGAGTGGATGATTTCCTGGAGGCGATTGACTCTCCGCTGTCACACACGCTGCAAGTCAACGTTGTCTCGCCATCCCTCGAGAACACCGTTTTCCAGCAGAGGGAAAATCTCGACTTCACAGAGAACCTCTGGCTTTTTCTAAAAGATGTTCGGAGCCCGGAAGATCTAGAAGCCACCCTGGGAGCAATCTTCAAGGCGTTTTTACTCGGAAGGGTGCGCAATGTGACATTTCGCGAGACTAGCAGATCCCCCTTGGCCAAACTCTTGCGCGAGCTCCTAAGCTGCAATTCAGACGCCGAGCGGCAGGTACTTGCTCCGAAGTTCCAACTCCTTCTCTTACCCAGTAGGTTGCTGCAAACCCTGGCCCAGATTGGGGTTGATAAGTTGAGGCTGGATCTCAGGGTGTTCCTGATTGCAGCCAAGGTGACGAGCGAGGCTGAGATTGCCAGCTTTCTCGGCGACGGTGAAAATCTTCTGCACCAGTGTCATTCCCTCTGCAACCTTTTCCACGTTGTGGAACTTGTGGGTACGGCCATAAACTACCATTGTCTCCCACCACCCTCTCTCATGGCACTCGCAAAATCAGCGATGGATTCTACGTCGGAGACTCCCTTTCGTTGGGTTTGAAGCCACACCGTTGTTTTCGGTCGCCCTGCCGCAAAGTTCGACTGTCTCAGACCTGTCATTGACATGTGTGTGTCGGGAGTGGGACTCTGGGACTGTGACGTTACGTTCAAGCTGCGAGACAGAATGATCATGCTGAGAGCTGGTGTATAGCTGGAGGGAATCAGAAACGTCATGATGTGTAATCAAGTCACTTGTAATGAGGTGTGATTAGTAATCAAACCATTTTATGCGCAGTGCGCGAGCTAATTGGGTTTTATCTTGCGCACACTGCGTTAATGTGAGAATTTTCCTGTATATCGTCGCGTCTGCCTGTCTGCGCGTAGTGCGTGTTGCTTGCTTGCTCGTGCGTTGAAGAGAGTTTTTAGTTAAGGTGTTAGAAGATGGCCACTGAAGGACTGCCGCCGGACAGAGTCCCGCCAGAGCTGCGCAGGCAGACGCTCTGCCTCAACTTGTGAGTACACTTTAATTGATGCCCACCCCGTTTGCGAAGTTTCAAATCTGAGCGCGCGCTTGGCGAAGCATCGTGCTTGGTTATGGAATTTAGGTACCAACTTGTGTTGCCTCTCGACTGGCGGAGATTGTTTTCACTGGCCCCATTAAACACCTGATCCTTTTAGTGACGATAAACTAAACCGAAACGCCAATATTCGCTCGCTCAGATAAGGGAATTGATATAGAGCCTTTCTCTGTATAATGCCTGAAAAACTGTTTTTGCAGGGGGGACTAGTGTGTCAAATAAGTGTGAGGACAACAACATGGGGCGGGTTCGATCGGGGGTGGTGTTGTACGAGTTTTGTGGCCGTCGGCGCGCCGCGTGGGTGTGTAGTTACACTCTGCGCATGCGCACAAACAGTGCAAGGGCTTAAAAAGTTCACCGCTAATTGATCGGTCGCGCGATTAGTCTTTGCACGAGCGAGAGTCTCTGTGCTTGTCTGTCCTCTGCAGGGAGGAGGCGATCCGGAACTACCCCGGTACCCCGGATCCACGCCGGGAGCCTACAGAACCCCACGGACGTGGAGATAATCTTCTTCGACCAGTCGAGAAACTCGTAATGGCCGTTCTCTCTCCGGGAGCTAACACTTGAAGCAACATGCAGCAGCTAGCTAAGACGCGCGCGATTCTGGGTGTATAATAAAAGAGCTAGGTGTGGCGTTGTGAATTCATAGGACTACTAAAACGGCTTATCTTGCACAGCGCTCCTTGTGCCTTGCTGCAGAAGCGCCTGTCGTGCAATGTAACAGTGAGAATTCTCAGGCTGTGAAGGCGTTTCTGTTCGCCACGTCGTCTGTGAATGTGCGTGTGTGAGAGTATAACATGCTGGTGTATAATTGGCAAGTAACCGAAATTACTGAGAGAGGAGCTCCATTTTTTTCAGTGACCCTTCATGCATCTGCATATATCACAGATCATAGGATAATGCTTGCTATAATTATAGTAACCAGAGAGCAGGTATGTAGGACAGTTTCTTTTGCAATCAGTCTGCAAGATTGACAGTGCAATCAGTTGCTATCAATATCTGAACATTATTGTTCTGTACTCTGCGACTAGTGTGTGAATGTACTACCGACACACACACACACACCACACGGACACACCAGATGTACACAGTACGATGATCAGAGGAGAGGTAGAAGGTAGCTGAATGTCGTAATTATCGGTCATTGCTTCGAGTCAGCTACATCATACAATGCAGTGTTTCTCTATTAGTGCTAGCCACCTCATTTATATTCAGCAAACACTTCAGCCTCTCCAGCTATGTATATACTCCTTTGCCGGTGCCACACTAGTTTCTGGCGTATGTACTCTTTGGGGCACATATTACGTGCGTATGCGTTGCATATTAGTCCACGTAAGTTGACCTCGTCTTTGGACGCGTTTTTTAAGTAGTGCTTTAGCGTGTATACATTCTGTATAAAGACATTACTCTGAAGGAAGTGGCGCGCCCACTGGTTAACGGCGCGCGTAGTGCAGCAGCAGAGTGCCATGACCTTCATACGTGTCACATGACATCACTGTTGTATACAAATTGCCATACACGCATAGGTGCTGCTGTAGCTCTCTCGCTACATAACTACCACATACTATATACTACGTACTATGTTCACACGGTCTAGGTGTTTGCTTGCCTTGCTGCCTTGCGCCTCAGGATGACTGGCAATACATACACGGCCAGCTGCAGCGAATTCTCTTTATGCTAACAACAGAGAAAGAGCCTCAGATTAGATACATTAACCTTAGTTTCTCCCGTCCAAAGTTCCCCAATTTTCTTTGGCCAGCCACAAAGCAGTGTGTTACCTTAATATCTCGCACCTCCTGATGTTGTGGGCGCTGTATAGGTTTCCTGGAGCACATAAACCTTAGTTTCCGCTCCAAAGTCCCCCCAATTTTCTTGGGCCAGTCCACAGAGTAGTGTTGTGTTGGTAGGCTATTATATCTTCGCACCTCTTGATGGGGGCGGAGTCTGTCTAGGTTGCCTGGAAGGTGCCATGGTGTTCCTGTGAGATATCTGCCAGGGTATATGTGTACATGCAACTCAGTGGACATGCTAAAACTTTGTTCTGGCAGATTTTTCACGGAGTGCTGCTTTCTCCACATTTTAGATATTCTTTGTGTCTTCTGCTTTTTTGAAGTGTGATCGTTTTGCACTTCGAAAAGCGGCGTAAAATGCTACTGTTGATGGCAATGTACTGTATGTGTTTCTGCAGAAGAAAAGTGGAACGAGAGAGAGGAGGTTGTTTTGGCTGAGTGATACCGAAAGTTGATTGCATTTAGTGACCTCCTTAGGACAGTGAAAAGGGTATCTTTCATGTGGGGGTACACCCTATACCTAACGAGTAAGCCTTAGACCCTGAACTGTGGCAGATGTGTGTATATAGTGCATGCTGTTGGCAGTGCGTAGCTGGTGATCTGGTGAGGCCCCTGCGGTAGTGGGTTACTATCGTCGGGTCAAAGTTCAGTTGGTTTTTCCAAGTGGTGGTGGTGTGGATGGTTGCATGGGTGGTTGGGTTTGCTGTCAGACCACATTTTGCGCTGTGCTTCCTTGCCTGCATGGGTGCACCTGCCATTTTCTCCCTCGTCTTTGCCTCTCTCTACTTTGTATTATACTTTCTCCCTCGCTCATCCTCTGCTTCTCCTATCCCCTTTCTCCTCTTCCCGTGCCCATTCACTCACTCTCCATCCTCACTCACTATCTTCGTTCCATCCTCCTCCTTCTTCTCCACCACCACCACCAACAGACCTAGCAGCTCAGAACCCGCAGCAGCAACACCAGCAGTCAAATCAATCGCTCCCTCAGTCGTCTAACCTCCAACAGCAGCAGTCTCAGTTGAGTGGCGGCGTCTCCTACTCCGTCTCGGGCTCTAACATGGCTGGAGTCAACCCTGCAGGTACTTACATGGTATTACATAATAGTATCGGGGTCCCAGTCTTAACCCATTTTTTAAAGGAGGCATGCGGGGACGCTCTCAATAACGTGAAATCTAAATAGAGTTTTGGCTCTCTCTCAAAAAGTACTTACAAGACATGCAAAACAGTTGCACGTAATAGTTAATCTTTGTTCAAAGTTGCTATCTTCACTTGAGACCCAGAACAATAGCATAGCACTGGATAATGCTGAAAACTTGAGAGAAAAGTGCATTCTCCAACCCATAAATTTGACTGTTTGGAATAGTGTGAATATCATATTGCAGCTATGCATGTAGTATATACTGTGCTACATCAATGGTAGGTGGTCATTGAGACAAGTGTGGTGCTTGCACGCATTTATAGGAACAGTCTCTGTTCTTCCCATGTTGCCCGATATGTTTTCCTTTTGTTGTGGATGTTCTGCCAGTATTCACTTCCTTTCAGGTCTGACTCACTTACAAACATGCTCACCCCTCCCCCTGAGCATTCCAGTCTCTTCGAAACACGTATTAGAGCATTCCACCTTCCTCTCTCTCTGTCTTCCCGTCTGTCCCTCCCCCTCGTTTCCCCTCTGTTTCTTCCTCTTTCCGCTCGCTTTCTCCCCCTTCCCACTCCCTCATTTCTCTCTCCCCCCTCTCTCCCTCTTCCCACTCCCTCATTTCTCTCTCCCCCTTTTCCCCCTATCTCCCTCCTCTCTCCCTCTTCCCACTCCCACATTTCTCTCTCCCCCCTCTCTCCCTCTTCCCACTCCCACATTTCTCTCTCCCCCTCCTTCTATGTACAGGTATGGGTATGACTCGCCCCATGCAGCAGATGCAGCAGCCGGGTGGAGGAGGAAGCTACCAGACCTACCAGCAGGGAGGAGGGACCGCCCAGCAGATGCACCCCACCCAACACCCTCACTATTCTCCCCACATGCACCGCACAGTGGGCGGGTCAATGCAGCATGGAATGCAACCGGGAATGCACCCCACCCAACGACCAATGATGGCAGGGGTTGCTCAGGGAATGGTACACGGTGGACCATATGGACACGCCCAACACCCAATGAGTGTACACAACTACCCACAGGTGAATTCACCATCCTTATAAATAAAAAACCTTGCAGCACAATAGCAATTTTTGTGAAGGAAACACAGTTGAATGAGTGCGTAATGCGCTGAACGTCCAGATATGTTTTGGGTGCAAGTTATGGGGTATATACAGCATGTCTCAACAACTTGGTAACGAGGTAGAAAGGCAAGGCAAGGCAAACAAGTGAACTACATGTACCTTTTCCCGATTGATGTCCTTTCAATGTTTGGATGCCAACAGGTGCAAGGGTTCAATGGGTCGGAATGTACAGTACGCGCGTTGTGGTTATTTGGCTTGCATTCCTAGAGACCTTTCTCGCTAACTACTTCATGTCTCTCTTTGCTCACGCACACTCTTTATTTCTTTCCCTTCCTTTTGTCTCTCCCTCCATATTTCCCCCTCCCTCCTCCTCCTTTCTCTCTCTCCAGAACGTAAACTATCAGTCCACACTTCAACCCGTGATGTCTGTAGCCAACCAGATGCACGGAATGGGGATACCGCAGCGCCAACCCTCAATCAACCCCTCTCTAATGAGACCCCAGCAGGGACCGATGGGGCGCGGAATGCCGGGGATGGCCGGGGGAGGCATGATGCAGCAGCACAGCGGGCCTGGGGCGATGGCGATGACGATGGGAGAGGGGAATGGGGATGGGGGGAGGATACCGGCGGGGATGGGGAGGGTGGGCGGAGTGTACGGAGGACCGATGGTCCAGCAGGTTCAGACTGGGTTACGTCAGACATCATGGGAGTGTCCAGCCGGTGATGGCGGTCCCAAACCCTCCTACCTCCCTGCTTCTTTCCGTCGGGGGATAAGACAGCCTGCACCTCCATATGACTCTGTCGGGTGAGCATCATATAGAATCACATGATGACTCTGTAGGGGTGGGCATCATATAGAATGACTCTGTAGGGGTGAGCATCATATAGAATGGAGTGCACTTTGAGAATCTACCAGACTTACTTGAAGCTGTGTAATAGAGATGGATCATAAACCATATAAAGTGAAGTCCTTTTAGATTTGTGTGCTTACCTATGGTATATGCTGTTGCGCTTTGTTTTTGCTGCAGCGACTGCTGTGTGCACCTGTGTAGCTATCCCACCCCTTCGTTTATTTTGTGCACACACATGCACGTGCGCACACACCCACACAGCCTCCAGCCTCCAGCAGTGCAGTCTCCAACCCCTCAGCCGCCACCTCCTCGTCCAATGCTCCCTCTCTCCCTCCCGCTTCCTCCGCTCCACCCTCCTCCTCTTCCTCCCAGCCACAGTCATCTCTCCCTCACCCCCACCCTCCTCCCTCCACCTCAGCCTCAGCTACTGCCATGAATTATCTACAGGTATAAAACATACTTCTATTACAATACATTATTTGTCATAAGTCAAGACGACAATTGGTTAGGTAACAGTGTTGTGGTGTTTAACTTTGACCCATTGAAATTAATGCAAGTTCTTGTTGTATGCATGTGCGCAAGGGGCTGTGTGGCGATGCAAACGCAGCCCGGCACAAGACTACTGCATCATAACTGAAGCTAGCAGAAGCGCACGGAAGAATGTAAGCCAGGCTGCGCAAAACTCAATCAGTGCATAGCATCATTGTATTGTTTGCTGTTGTACTACGTTCATTATCAGAACATGTTGCGAAGCTGGTTGTTCTCTGCCCTGTGTTTGTAAGTTATCATCCCATTACGAACTCACCTGTCATCTTCCAGTCGCAGCCTGTCCCATCGCCTGCCCCTCCTCCCACTCCACTCCTCCCTGCCTCCCCGGCAACCAGCATCGGAAGCCCCGCCCACTCCACGGTCACTCCGGAAGAAAACGAGGCGTACCTTCGGACGCACCACGAGCTCCAGGTCTACCTCCCGCTCCTCACTCGCATGATGAACCGCACACTGAAGAAAGAGGGTGAAGACGCCCACAAGTCAGAGCAGTATATGAAACTCAAGAGCCTCCACAGTTTATTGCAGGACGACAAGAAGAGGTGACTTTCTCCTCTCCACCCCTCTCTCTTCTCCTTCCGTTTTCTCTGTCCTTATATTTTTAAATTTGCTTTCTTTTTCTGAATTTCACTACTGTATGTTCATTGCTACTGTCGAGCGAGGCGTTTAGAAGAACGGATATCTGGCGAAAAGAAACTTTACAATAGTCCACACCCACAGAATGCCCCCTCTAAACTTAGCATTTTGCTACATTGTCAAGTAGGCGTAAACAAACATGAATTTAAGTGTACACGAACTAACCATGACCAAAAATGCGACACACAGGGTCCCTCTCCCGACTCTCATCAAATGCAAGACGGCCCTTGAGAAGATGTTTGAGCAGCAGCAGCTGAGAGAACACCTGGACTCCACCTCTTCGCAGCCGCCTCCCTCCAACCCCCCTTCCGTCGCCCCCGCGCCCCCTGCGACCTCGTCCGCAGCGAACCACACCCTCGTCGACCCCTCAACCAAACCCCTCCCGGAGCCAAAATCTCAGTCGCTACTAGAGTTCAAAATGATTCCTTCACCGACCCCAACACTAGGGAACCTCATAGAGACATGTACTGTCCGCTCACATCCGTTCCCCGCTGACCGTCTTCCTCCCTCCAAGAGGATGTGCAATAGAGGTAGGGTTTGTTGATACATTACACTACAGGTTTAATGGTGTGTTGTGTTGTGTATACATCGTGTACTGTTTGTGGACAAAAACGTGGTCCGTGATACCACCGATTTAATGCTAAAGTTTGTCTGAGAAAAGCTCATAGTGTTGCTAGTATGCCCCTCTTGCTACTTGGGTTGTTATTGATGTTCACTCTACTATTCTGCTCTCCCACAGTTGAGCCAGCAATATCTCTCTGTCTGAGTAGAGAGATTGCCCATCTGGGTGGGGTCAAAGTTCACCCACTCCCCCAGGAGGAGCAGACCCGAGGGACCATGCTAGAGTGCAGCATCGGTCAGTCCACGCCTCTTTTCTCTTCCTCCCCCTCTCCTCTTTACTCCTTCTCTTCGTTGTGTGCACATAATAATGTCAGAGTATCCCATAATATGGGAAAACTATTAATTTGTTCCAGCAGTGCACTTTTCGTTTCTGTTTCTTGCAGTTTTTTTCGTTGGTCTTGCGTTTTGATTTTCTACAGTTGAGGTTCGTCTAGACTACAATTTGCATTGTTTGCGCTTGTGCTTAGACCAACAAGAGACGAATATCAACCAACAAAGGACGAAAATCAAATTTTATGACCAACAAAAACGAAAAAAGTGCACTACTATATTATTATACCATCGTAAAGATTCTGATTTCTGTTCACACAGTGGATGAGGACCTGCCCAAAGTCCCCTCGCTAACCGTCCGTATTCCTCCGGGGTACCCCGACTACTCCCCGGAGTGTGACCTGGAGTCGTACGGGGGAGGAGACCCCACCCCGCTCCTCTCGGAGGTCGGGAAGCTTCTGGCGGACACCCTGGCCTGCTGCTGTGACAGCTACAAACCCTCTCCTTCCTGCTGTCCAGCTGGGAGACCAGCCTTCTCAAGGCCCTCTCTTCCCAGTTCTGACATTCATTCCCCTCCTTCCCCTTTCTCCTCATTTTCCTTCCCTCCCAACCTCCTTCACTCCTGATGCCTGTGTAATTATATACTCCCATACGCATGAACTCTTTTCTCTCTCTCTCCTTTCTTCTCTTCATTTGGCATAATGCATGTTTGCCCCTCTAATAAATTTCAATCTGACTGTCGAACTATAATGTAGAACAAGTGCTACACGTTGTTTTAGCGAGCCAATGGCAAGTATACATGTAGGTCAGCTGCTCATGAATAATAGTGCATGTGCGTTGTTAAAAAATGTGACAGCAACATTTTAAACCTGCAAGTGTGACAACGGTTTAGGGAAGCACGCCATAGACACAGCTTCTCAGGGACAATAGTGGATGTGCTGTGTTTAAAAAACCCACATGTGTAACTATATTCTACAGTTTTTGAAACCACTACATAGGTGCACTTATTTGAATTGCAACACTTGTGGAAGTATAATGTTGTACTGCTGACATAGTACTACAGATCATGTGCCATGAGAGCAGTATAGGTGGTGTGATGAAAAAGGAAGAGCCTACTGCATTTTGCACAAATCACACAATACACAACTAAAACAATACCTTGAAAAACAAAAAAAATAAAGGGGGGGGGCTAGATTTCATCTTCGTCTGACTCATTTAGTAGCATTTCCCTCTCAGCCCGTCCACTCTTGGGCAGTCCGTACTCTGGAATAGCCACGCTCACTCCATCGCTCCCTCCATCGGCGTCCAGCTGCTCCCCGTACGAGAACGGGAAAAACTTGCTCACCGACTTGTACCTGGCCCGCCGTCTCCTCCGGCGAGTTGCACTGCAGCAGCACAGATTCAAGGCAGACACGAGGATCACAAGTAGGAGCGCGGCTCCAGCAACACACATCAGGACGGTGTAGCCGAAATGGTGGTGGAGCGGGAGATTGCTAGCTGGGGCTGGGTTGAAGGTAGGAGTGGGGGGGAGGCTACAGTCTGAGTCTGTTTTGTTGTGAGATGAATTGGTAGAGGTGGCAGTGTTGGGACAGGTAGGCTTGCTGGAGTTGGTGGTGTTAGTGGAGGAAGGGAGGATGGTGGTGGGAGGAGGAGGTGAGGGACAGACAGCCTCGTCTCCATTCAACAATTCCACCTTGTCTGCTGGTTGAATCAACCCTGCAACGGAAGGTTATAAGACAAGGAGTGTTATATATACCATGGGAACATTTGGTAAGGGTGAAGACATTGGCACAGAAAACATGGAGACGATTAGCAAGTGTACTACTATAATAGTATATACCTTCATCGTAGGTGCCATCATTAGCGAACTCTGCCGTTTGAGGAGTGCGTAGTGCATGTGACTCCACCCATTTTTTGATCGCTTCCGACTCCACCCACTTTACTCGGAGGACACACCCCCAAGACACAACAGCCATTGGCTGCAGCGGAGAAATAGTCGAAGATTAGCAGTAAAACTATGTCATGGATTTTGACCAGAAACCAAGTTTGATTTCTTAGCCCCGAAGCACCCAAACAAGGAAAAAATATTGCACCCTACAAAAAAATGATAATTCTCCAGCAACCTTTCAACAGTTCGACTCCTTGGAGAAATTCACACTAATTGTTTGTTAGGCAACGGCATCTTTACATTATTAAAGGAATAAAGCAGCCATTATCTATCCGTACTATTGCTATGGTACTAGAAATGGATTGAGCATAAACAAGATGCAGCAAGCTTTTGGACACCTGCCAATCTCCAGCTAACGAGGGTATGTGTGGCTAACCCATTCAGAGTCCAGGAGAGGGTAAGGGGAGACGAAATGGCGCCACAGACAGCTCCGAGCCAGCTGCTTCAACTGGGAGACCTGGTCAGGAGGGGTGCATGGGTGGTAGAGGAATACCACCGCACCGTACTGTATATAGGAGGGAGAGAGCACATATACTGTCATAGTAGGATACATTCAGTAAACATTCACAGTTTAACGCTATCTGATATTGTTTTTCTCTTCCCACTAGAAAGCCTATAGTTGTAGAAAGAGAGATGTCTATACCTGGAGGGCAGAGAGCCATCTCTGAGGTGGCAGATATTCATATGTCCCATACTTTGGCCTCAGAGGTCGATAGTCTCCACTGGAGTTAGAAGAAGAGGAATAGTATAATGAGAGAATGCAAAAATAAGTAAAACTTCCACTTGCCTTGAAGGTGGATGTTCAGTGTAAGTCAAATGAACATCTGTACATTTGGATTTGCCTGCGAGAGAGATGACACGGTAAAAGCTTTGCACACGTGTGCTGAAGTGTAGAACTCACTTCGTGGAGTGTAGGAGAGCAACTTTGCTTTGAAGACGGCTGTACAAACTGCATACGAAAACATGATTTGCTAATCTTATTTCTGGACATAGCTTTGAGCGCGTTCTACCGTACCTCCGGGGTTCGAAGTGCTGTCCCGAACAGGAGGTCCACTGTTCCAGGTCCTCTGTGTCTTTACCGACCTAGTGGACCAACGTGACGCACGCTCATTGGGCAGAATGGCAAACCTACGGTCATGTTTTACTGTAGCCCCACCTTGCCGTCGTCACAAGGGACGGTGATTTCGGCCGTTTGAGAGGACTCGTCTCCCGGAATAGCTGATGGTAGGAGAGACAGAAGAAGACACAAGCCCGGAACGAGGCAACGACGCCGACGTGAGAACAAGAAAGCCATCGCCATTATTTGTTTATGGTTGACGTAATGCCGAATAATCTTGCGCATGCGCACATGCAAAAGGCAGCTGAGAGAACAGGTCAATCACCGAACACTGACGCAGCATTTAAGCATAACAAAAGTATACTGTTGTAAAAGCTATCGTGTTGTCAAGGCTTTGAGTCATGATCTGAGAGGCATAGAGTATGTGGACCCGAACCAGGTCCAGCTGCTCTCTGACAAGGTCCCAGCTGCCACCCCACTCCATGGCCGCAAAGATGGCATCAGACACACCGGGAAACAGAGAGCTGCCGTACTGGTTGACTGAGCTGGGCGCATAAACCACATGCCTGCATAGGAGACGGAAATTCACACAATACCTAATACACCCACAACAACATGTGTGCTCCAATTTTCAGTTTTCTATATAGCCAGACCCTCAACTTTCTTTGGACCCTAAAGGCTCTCCCACCTCTGTCTATAACCATCTCTAACTTGTAGTAAGGTCTTCCAGGGAGACCCTCTGGTACAATGAAGGCTCTCTCCAACTGCATCAGTTGATCGTTGAGTCTCCTGACACGACTGAGGTCACTGGGGTCACCTGACACCTTCTGTAACTCCTCCCACAGACATTCGGCGGACATCGTGAACTCTCTGATGGAGCTGTTGAGGTAATCTGTATAATAGAGAAAGTCATCTGGAGGATGGGTATGTTCATAAATTGCCTGTGTGGGTGACAAAAAAGAGGAAAAACTTGTTGGGAAGTCTAACACAGAAAAATGTAGTGGGAAATCAGCGAATTAAATTCATGAGTTTCGTTCTCATAAAAGTAACCATTTAAGGGAGGATCAAATTATTACTCATCAAGAGAGAGGGGGAGAAAGAGAGAAAGGGCTGAAGGAACCTACCAAGACTTATGTTCTGGGAAGACAGAACCTCTCCATACTCTTCCACCAATCCCGCCATGATGTTTGTGAGTGCAGTGGAGTAGTCTCTGGGGTCGTAGGGGAGGACGGGGGAGGTGGCAAGAGAGAGGGCCACCTTACCCCACACCAGACCCACGGCTGTGTGGTGGGAGAAGGATGGGTCCGTCAGGTTGGCCTCGTAGAAGAAGTTGTCGTGGACTGAGTGATACACTGGGTACCCTATGGGGTCCTATACAGAGAGAGAGAGCAGAATAAGCAATGAAACACAAATTTTCCTGAAGTGTGTACTGATTCTTAGTGTGCGTAAGGTTCAGAGCATGCTATATACTAGAAGATCAAAGGGGAAAGAAAGAGAGGGAATCTTACAAAGTATCTGTAGTTCATGTCAGAGCAGGTGATGCCAAAACCTTGCAGGAAGGAGGTATAGTCACTGCCTGAGCCAAGACCAGGGACTCTGTAGAGGAGAGGAGACAGTGGCTGGAGCTGTCACCAGGAGACAGTGGAGGACTAGAGTCAACTCACTGAGGAGCGCTGTTGGTGGGGTTTGGTTGGTAGTGGAGCCACTCGTCATAGACTGTGGCAAAACCTTTGTTGGGGCACTTGGTCTACAGAGACACAACTCAATAAGACAGCGTATTAATAAAAGCACTCTCACTGTTTTGGTTGCAGTGTAGATAGGCTGGATGAGAAGTGGGGTGGCAGCAGCATTGAAAGAGTATATCCCTGTGATATACAGAGAGAAATTGGGTGTTTATCCCGACCCACAAATTTTGCAGAGAAAATTATCAATCTGCATAATATTAGCTAGAAATCTTTAGCTGTAGACTGTAGACTAGCTTTACCATCAATGGCAACATCCACATTCAGGTAGGCTACAGCATTGGCTCCCAGGATCTTTGCATGTTCCTTCAGAGGAGAAGAAAGAGGAAAGTCTGAGTGGTCACATCATGTGGTGGTGCCACAGTATGTATCGATACCTCAGTCCATTCGTAGGATCCAATCAGTCCATATTCCTCTGCATCCCAACTGCAGAGGAGAATGGTTCGACCTGGTCTCCAGTCTGGGGACAGACAGAGAGAGAGATGAGCACCTTCACCGTGACACCCAGTCTGGTGACTGCGGTCCAGGGGGCTCTGACCTTTGCTGCGGAGGTCACTGAGAGCTCTGGCCAGCTCCATGAGTACTGCAGTCCCAGAGTTTGGGTCCACTGCTCCAAATGTCCAGGCATCGTGGTGGTTACCCAGCAGAACGTAGCGATCTGACAGACAAACAGGCAAAGGAAAAGAAAATAGCCCCAGAGCACATAGCTACAACAGTGTTCTCATATTCAGTGTGGAGTTTGTCTAAGGCAAAGGCCGTGACACAGAAGGCAAAGAGATGGTTCAGTGACTAACCTGGCTCCACTGATCCATACACTGTAGCAATGACATTAGTGATGTTCCTATGAACCAGGTAGTTGTTGACTTCAAGATACGTCTCACTGCAGCAGACGCACAGAGACTAAAACCCCCTCTCTTCCTTCCTCCCTCCCTCCATACTTTGTGTTGTTGGGTGACTGGAGGATGTAGTAGCAGGACAGGTTCAGCTGACCAGTCCAGTTGAGGTTGACAGGGGCTCGGTACTCAGTCAGTTGGCTGCAACAATACACATGAAACACTCAACCACTAGACAGCAATAGCACAATTCTCTGCATCACTAAATCTCGAGCTATAGTAGAAGATTCAACATGTTATAGTTAATCTGTCAAACTTCATGAAGTGGATGGCATCTCCATAAGAGATGGGTTGTACTGGGATACTGGGAGCGTATCCTTTCTTCACCACATCTTCCTCATAGTCTCTCCTGAATATCCCTGGAATTGCAGGGACCCCCGGAGTCAGGGGGTCGCCGTTTCTCTGGAACAGTGATCCTCGTTGCACCCCGGAGGGTGGGAGACTGGTGCCGTTGGGGAAGACCAGGGGACCACCTCTGGGGGCATAATCCGCGGGGTCAGAGTAGATGATGACTCCAATACCCCACTTTGCTCTGCCAGGTAGGCCTACAGGTCAACATGGGACACACTCAATAGCTAGATGGGGAAAACCTTTTGAAGGGAAACATTATGCACAGTTTGGTAAACATTTGCAGCAAAATGTTTTTCTTAGAAAAAATTGGCACAGTGATCCCAATAGCCAAATTCTTTGCTAGTTTTATAGTATGCACAAAGCAAATGAAACTCCATTAGTGACATGACAATTTGGATGGTAAAATTTGCACTCTTTCAGTATTGAGGGTAACCTTATCTCCACGGTAGATTTTTCCATAGCGTATGATGCAGACGTATCCGTCCAGACTGATATTGAGAGTAGTGTTGAGATAGTAAAAGTCCTCCAGTCTACCATAGTTAACATACACCAGAGGACCCTGCCAATAGAAAGAGAGAGATGGTAACAGGTGAAGATATGTGGTCCAGTGGTTGTCTTACAGAGACGTTCCCAGTGCCAGAGTAGGCATTAAAAGGAGGAGCGACGGAGGGATCTCTCTCCTGTGGCAGCAGAGGTTTCTCCTGGCGGGTAGCTGCAGTGTAGACCACCTTCCCCCCCGACTCCCGCAGCTCCAGTCTGTTGGGACTACTGCTGTTCCCTGGGTACTGCAGCAGGACCGTGTAGTTGGCCAGCTCCACTCGGTCAAAGGTCTTGTAGCCCTTCCAGCGATTGTAGATCAACATGGCCACTTCCATATCACTGACATTGCCCGCGATGTGAGGTTTCTCTGTCAGCTCCCTGCATCAGGACGCACAATAATCACAGGGTTTTCTTATAACAACGCATTGCCATCATTATCCTCCCTCAGTGCCTACAACCAAACTACCTAGACATTATTTTCAGTTATGTTCACTGCCGGGAAACGCTTGGGCTTTTCAGTAATTTACCACAGTCTTTAAAGGAAACCCTAAGCAGGTATGCCACAAATGCTGCAGTCAAGGCCTTTTAATTGATGAACCTCAGCCTCTTTCTAAGTCCTATAGCTGCGAAGCTCCTTTGTTATTTCCTTGGATGCTGGAAAGTGGCTAAAAGGTTAATGTGCTTGGACAATTATTAGACTGAGAGCTTTTTTGGCTACCTGTGCAGATCTAAAGAGGTAGCTATACCTCAGGTTTTCCTTGATGTTCTCAGGCTGTAGCTCAGCATCCAGCCATTCAGTCACGGGCACCGTTTTACCTCCGCTCAACGTCACGTTCCCGCCCCAGTTTGGAAGAGTGCTGGACGCGCGTTACTGCACGAAGCGTTCACGCTCGCAGAGCTTGAAGAGCCGTAGATTACTTTCCCCGCGAGCAGGCCCCCTGCGAACCCAGCTCCTAACAGCAGGACCGTGACCACCACCGTGGTGCAGACGAAGACCGCTGCCACCGGCCATTTCTTCCTCTCCCCGCGCCCCGGGGCCTTGATGACGGTGGGATCGAGGAGGTCTCTGTCTTCTCCGCTATCGTCCATCTCTCTGTCTTGCCTGCCAATCTCCGGGTCGATCGTCTGATGCTCGGGGCGGCCGGGGGGCGTGCACCCCGTCTAGCTCGTGATACAACGCACATGCGCATGCGCAAATGTCTCAAACGCGACGACGTCGGCTAGTAGTGTATAGTGTGCGCGATGCGGTGAGACTCCTCTACACAACATACAGCTTTTTGCGCACTGTTTTGTAAAGCAGTGCAGCACATGGACGCCAGGGCTGAACGCAGTGAAGAGATGGTTCCGCTCCAGGAAGAGTCTGCATACGACGGTGCCGGTCGTACATCGTCCCCGTCCCACGACGTCTGCAAGTTCGTGTGCGGGCTCTTCGTGATCACACTGCTGGTGACGGCCCTATTCGGCGGGGGTTTATTTACTGGCTACGGCGCTATCTGCGATCGTCATCGGACGTGCAAGTGCACTGGGGGTGCAAATTCCGTAACTGCGAAATGGGGAGGAGAAGTCAACGGAACGGGGAGTGGGACGGCCGTTCCTGTGTCGAAATGGCTAGACGACGAGATGAAAGCTGGAAATATTAGAGAGAATCTAAGGTTTGGCACGGCTACATGAACATTGATTATTGATTATTGGTGCATTACTTATCGTGACTGCATGTTTCCAAGGAGCTTTTACTGAGAAGCCCACAGACCGAAATGTCAAACCGTATAGAGAATATTCCATAGATATTAATTTTGTATTGGTGCATTACTTATCGTGACTGCATGTTTCCACTGAGAAGCCCACAGGCAGAAATGTAAGGTTTGGCAAACCGTATATAGAAATTCCATAGATGTTTTTGTAGAATCAATAACTAACATATGGTTTTAAAAGCCCTGAACTATGACAACCGGATTATTGTGCGTCCTGATGCAGGGAGCTGACAGCGAAACCTCACATCGCGGGCAATGTCAGTGATATGGAAGTGGCCATGTTGATCTACAATCGCTGGAAGGGCTACAAGACCTTTGACCGAGTGGAGCTGGCCAACTACACGGTCCTGCTGCAGTACCCAGGGAACAGCAGTAGTCCCAACAGACTGGAGCTGCGGGAGTCGGGGGGGAAGGTGGTCTACACTGCAGCTACCCGCCAGGAGAAACCTCTGCTGCCACAGGAGAGAGATCCCTCCGTCGCTCCTCCTTTTAATGCCTACTCTGGCACTGGGAACGTCTCTGTGAGGACAACCACTGGACCACATATCTTCACCTGTTACCATCTCTCTCTTTCTATTGGCAGGGTCCTCTGGTGTATGTTAACTATGGTAGACTGGAGGACTTTTACTATCTCAACACTACCCTCAATATCAGTCTGGACGGACACATCTGCATCATACGCTATGGAAAAATCTACCGTGGAGATAAGGTTACCCTTAATACTGAAAGAGTGCAAATTTTACCATCCAAATTGTCATGTCACTAATGGAGTTTCATTTGCTCTGTGCATACTATAAAACTAGCAAAGAATTTGGCTATTGGGATCACTGTGCCAATTTTTTCTAAGAAAAACATTTTGCTGCAAATGTTTACCAAACTGTGCATAATGTTTCCCTTCAAAAGGTTTTCCCCATCTAGCTATTGAGTGTGTCCCATGTTGACCTGTAGGCCTACCTGGCAGAGCAGAGTGGTTGTATTGGAGTCATCATCTACTCTGACCCCGCGGATTATGCCCCCAGAGATGGTCCCCCTGGTCTTCCCCAACGGCACCAGTCTCCCACCCTCCGGGGTGCAACGAGGATCACTGTTCCAGAGAAACGGCGACCCCCTGACTCCGGGGGTCCCTGCAATTCCAGGGATATTCAGGAGAGACTATGAGGAAGATGTGGTGAAGAAAGGATACGCTCCCAGTATCCCAGTACAACCCATCTCTTATGGAGATGCCATCCACTTCATGAAGTTTGACAGATTAACTATAACATGTTGAATCTTCTACTATAGCTCGAGATTTAGTGATGCAGAGAATTGTGCTATTGCTGTCTAGTGGTTGAGTGTTTCATGTGTATTGTTGCAGCCAACTGACTGAGTACCGAGCCCCTGTCAACTGGACTGGTCAGCTGAACATGTTCTACTACTGCATCCTCCAGTCACCCACCAACACCAAGTATGGAGGGAGGGAGGGGGGAAGAGAGGGGGGTTAAGTCTCTGTGCGTCTTCTGCAGTGAGATATATCTTGAAGTCAACAACTACCTGGTTCATAGGAACATCACTAATGTCATTGCTACAGTGTATGGATCAGTGGAGCCAGGTTAGTCACTGAACCATCTCTTTGCCTTCTGTGTCACGGTCTTTGCCTTAGACAAACTCCACACCGAATATGAAAGAACACTGTTGTAGCTATGTGCTCTGGGGCTATTTTCTTTTCCTTTGCCTGTTTGTCTGTCAGATCGCTACGTTCTGCTGGGTAACCACCACGATGCCTGGACATTTGGAGCAGTGGACCCAAACTCTGGGACTGCAGTACTCATGGAGCTGGCCAGAGCTCTCAGTGACCTCCGCAGCAAAGGTCAGAGCCCCCTGGACCGCAGTCACCAGACTGGGTGTCACGGTGAAGGTGCTCATCTCTCTCTCTCTGTCTGTCCCCAGACTGGAGACCAGGTCGAACCATTCTCCTCTGCAGTTGGGATGCAGAGGAATATGGACTGATTGGATCCTACGAATGGACTGAGGTATCGATACATACTGTGGCACCACCACATGATGTGACCACTCAGACTTTCCTCTTTCTTCTCCTCTGAAGGAACATGCAAAGATCCTAGGAGCCAATGCTGTAGCCTACCTGAATGTGGATGTTGCCGTTGGTGGTAAAGCTAGTCTACAGCTAAAGATTTCTAGGCCATCATAATTTTCTCTGCAAAATTTGTGGGTCGGGATAAACACCCAATTTTTCTCTGTATATCACAGGGGTATACTCTTTCAATGCTGCTGCCACCCCACTTCTCATCCAGCCTATCTACACTGCAACCAAAACAGTGAGAGTGCTTTTATTAATATGCTGTCTTATTGAGTTGTGTCTCTGTAGACCAAGTGCCCCAACAAAGGTTTTGCCACAGTCTATGACGAGTGGCTCCACTACCAACCAAACCCCACCAACAGCGCTCCTCAGTGAGTTGACTCTAGTCCTCCACTGTCTCCTGGTGACAGCTCCAGCCACTGTCTCCTCTCCTCTCCTCTACAGAGTCCCTGGTCTTGGCTCAGGCAGTGACTATACCCCCTTCCTACAAGGTTTTGGCATCACCTGCTCTGACATGAACTACAGATACTTTGTAAGCTTCCCTCTCTTTCTTTCCCCTTTGATCTTCTAGTATATAACATGCTCTGAACCTTACGCACACACTAAAAATCAGTACACACTTCAGGAAAATTTGTGTTTCATTGCTTATTCTGCTCTCTCTCTCTCTGTATAGGACCCCGTAGGGTACCCAGTGTATCACTCAGTCCACGACAACTTCTTCTACGAGGCCAACCTGAGGACCCGTCCTTCTCCCACCACACAGCCGTGGGTCTGTGTGGGGTAAGGTGGCCCTCTCTCTTGCCAACCTCCCCCGTCCTCCCTACGACCCCAGAGACTACTCCACTGCACTCACAAACATCATGGCGGGATTGGTGGAAGAGTATGGAGAGGTTCTGTCTTCCCAGAACATAAGTCTTGGTAGGTTCCTTCAGCCCTTTCTCTCTTTCTCCCCCTCTCTATTGATGAGTAATAATTTGATCCTCCCTAAATGGCTACTTTTATGAGAACGAAACTCATGAATGTAATTCGCTGATTTTCCTCATTTCCCCACTACCATTTTTCCTGTGTTCGACTTCCCAACAAGTTTTCCCTCTTTTTTGCCACCCACACAATACCCATCCTCCAGATGACTTTCTCTATTATACAGATTACCTCAACAGCTCCATCAGAGAGTTCACGATGTCCGCCGAATGTCTGTGGGAGGAGTTACAGAAGGTGTCAGGTGACCCCAGTGACCTCAGTCGTGTCAGGAGACTCAACGATCAACTGATGCAGTTGGAGAGAGCCTTCATTGTACCAGAGGGTCTCCCTGGAAGACCTTACTACAAGTTAGAGATGGTTATAGACAGAGGTGGGAGAGCCTTTAGGGTCCAAAGAAAGTTGAGAGTCTATTACAAGAAAAAGGATATAATTATAGAAAAGGGCCATACGTACATACGTACATACGTACATACGGTGTCTCACGTATCATGGAATTTGCACACCATTTGAAAATTGTAGCACACATGTTGTTGTGGGTGTATTAGGTATTGTGTGAATTTCCGTCTCCTATGCAGACATGTGGTTTATGCGCCCAGCTCAGTCAACCAGTACGGCAGCTCTCTGTTTCCCGGTGTGTCTGATGCCATCTTTGCGGCCATGGAGTGGGGTCGTAGCTGGGACCTTCTCAGAGAGCAGCTGGACCTGGTTCGGGTCCACATACTCTATGACTCTCAGATCATGACTCAAAGCCTTGACAACACAATAGCTTTTACAACAGTATAATTTTGTTATGCTTAAATGCTGCGTCAGTGTTCGGTGATTGACCTGTTCTCTCAGCTGCCTTTTGCATGTGCGCATGCGCAAGGTTATTCGGCATTACGTCACCCATAAACAAATAATGGCGATGGCTTTCTTGTTCTCACGTCGGCGTCGTTGCCTCGTTCCGGGCTTGTGTCTTCTTCTGTCTCTCCTACCATCAGCTATTCCAGGAGGCGAGTCCTCTCAAACGGCCGAAATCACCGTCCCTTGTGACGACGGCAAGGTGGGGCTACAGTAAAACATGATCGTAGGTTTGCCATTCTGCCCAATGAGCGTGCTTCACGTTGGTCCACTAGGTCGGTAAAGACATAGAGGACCTGAAACAGTGGACCTCCTGTTCGGGACAGCACTTCGAACCCCCGGAGGTACGGTAGAACCCCTCCAAAGCTATGTCCAGAAATAAGATTAGCAAATCATGTTTTCGTATGCAGTTTGTACAGCCGTCTCAAAGCGAAGTTTGCTCTCCTACACTCCACGAAGTGAGTTCTACACTTCAGCACACGTGTGCAAAGCTTTTACCGTGTCATTCTCTCGCAGGCAAATTCCAAATGTACAGATGTTCATTTGACTTACACTGAACATCCACCTTCAAGGCAAGTGGAAGTTTTACTTATTTTTGCATTCTCTCATTATACTATTCCTCTTCTTCTAACTCCAGTGGAGACTATCGACCTCTGAGGCCAAAGTATGGGACATATGAATATCTGCCACCTCAGAGATGGCTCTCTGCCCTCCAGGTATAGACATCTCTCTTTCTACAACTATAGGCTTTCTAGTGGGAAGAGAAAAACAATATCAGATAGCGTTAAACTGTGAATGTTTACTGAATGTATCCTACTATGACAGTATATGTGCTCTCCCTCCTATATACAGTACGGTGCGGTGGTATTCCTCTACCACCCATGCACCCCTCCTGACCAGGTCTCCCAGTTGAAGCAGCTGGCTCGGAGCTGTCTGTGGCGCCATTTCGTGTCCCCTTACCCTCTCCTGGACTCTGAATGGGTTAGCCACACTTACCCTCGTTAGCTGGAGATTGGCAGGTGTCCAAAAGCTTGCTGCATCTTGTTTATGCTCAATCCATTTCTAGTACCATAGCAATAGTAAGGATAGATAATGGGCTGCTTTATTCCTTTAATAATGTAAAGATGCCGTTGCCTAACAAACAATTAGTGTGAATTTCTCCAAAGAGTCGAACTGTTGAAAGGTTGCTGGAGAATTATCATTTTTTTGTAGGGTGCAATATTTTCCCCTTGTTTGGGTGCTTCGGGGCTAAGAAATCGAACTTGGTTTCTGGTCAAAATCCATGACATAGTTTTACTACTAATCTTCGACTATTTCTCCGCTGCAGCCAATGGCTGTTGTGTCTTGGGGGTGTGTCCTCCGAGTAAAGTGGGTGGAGTCGGAAGCAATCAAAAAATGGGTGGAGTCACATGCACTACGCACTCCTCAAACGGCAGAGTTCGCTAATGATGGCACCTACGATGAAGGTATATACTATTATGGTAGTACACTTGCTAATCGTCTCAATGTTTTCTGTGCCAATGTCTTCACCCTCACCAAGTTTCCCATGGTATATATAACACTCCTTGTCTTATAACCTTCCGTTGCAGGGTTGATTCAACCAGCAGACAAGGTGGAATTGAATGGAGACGAGGCTGTCTGTCCCTCACCTCCTCCTCCCACCACCATCCTCCCTTCCTCCACCAACACACACACTAACACCACCAACACCAGCAAGCCTACCTGTCCCAACACTGCCACCTCTACCAATTCATCTCACAACAAAACAGACTCAGACTGTAGCCTCCCCCCCACTCCTACCTTCAACCCAGCCCCAGCTAGCAATCTCCCGCTCCACCACCATTTCGGCTACACCGTCCTGATGTGTGTTGCTGGAGCCGCGCTCCTACTTGTGATCCTCGTGTCTGCCTTGAATCTGTGCTGCTGCAGTGCAACTCGCCGGAGGAGACGGCGGGCCAGGTACAAGTCGGTGAGCAAGTTTTTCCCGTTCTCGTACGGGGAGCAGCTGGACGCCGATGGAGGGAGCGATGGAGTGAGCGTGGCTATTCCAGAGTACGGACTGCCCAAGAGTGGACGGGCTGAGAGGGAAATGCTACTAAATGATTCAGACGAAGATGAAATCTAGCCCCCCTTATTTTTGTTTTTCAAGGTATTGTTTTAGTTGTGTATTGTGTGATTTGTGCAAAATGCAGTAGGCTCTTCCTTTTTCATCACACCACCTATACTGCTCTCATGGCACATGATCTGTAGTACTATGTCAGCAGTACAACATTATACTTCCACAAGTTTCGAGTCAAGTCAGTGCACCTATGTAGTGGTTTCAAAAACTGTAGAATATAGTTACACATGTGGGTTTTTTAAACACAGCACATCCACTATTGTCCCTGAGAAGCTGTGTTCTATGGCGTGCTTCCCTAAACCGTTGTCACACTTGCAGGTTTAAAATGTTGCTGTCACATTTTTTAACAACGCACATGCACTATTATTCATGAGCAGCTGACCTACATGTACTTGCCATTGGCTCGCTAAAACAACGTGTAGCACTTGTTCTACATTATAGTTCGACAGTCAGATTGAAATTTATTAGAGGGGCAAACATGCATTATGCCAAATGAAGAGAAGAAAGGAGAGAGAGAGAAAAGAGTTCATGCGTATGGGAGTATATAATTACACAGGCATCAGGAGTGAAGGAGGTTGGGAGGGAAGGAAAATGAGGAGAAAGGGGAAGGAGGGGAATGAATGTCAGAACTGGGAAGAGAGGGCCTTGAGAAGGCTGGTCTCCCAGCTGGACAGCAGGAAGGAGAGGGTGTAGCTGTCACAGCAGCAGGCCAGGGTGTCCGCCAGAAGCTTCCCGACCTCCGAGAGGAGCGGGGTGGGGTCTCCTCCCCCGTACGACTCCAGGTCACACTCCGGGGAGTAGTCGGGGTACCCCGGAGGAATACGGACGGTTAGCGAGGGGACTTTGGGCAGGTCCTCATCCACTGTGTGAACAGAAATCAGAATCTTTACGATGGTATAATAATATAGTAGTGCACTTTTTTCGTTTTTGTTGGTCATAAAATTTGATTTTCGTCCTTTGTTGGTTGATATTCGTCTCTTGTTGGTCTAAGCACAAGCGCAAACAATGCAAATTGTAGTCTAGACGAACCTCAACTGTAGAAAATCAAAACGCAAGACCAACGAAAAAAACTGCGAGAAACAGAAACGAAAAGTGCACTGCTGGAACAAATTAATAGTTTTCCCATATTATGGGATACTCTGACATTATTATGTGCACACAACGAGGAGAAGGAGTAAAGAGGAGAGGGGGAGGAAGAGAAAAGAGGAGAGGGGGAGGAAGAGAAAAGAGAGAGGGGGAGGTAGAGAGAAGAGACGAGAGGGAGGAAGAGAAAAGAGGAGAGGAGGAAGAGAAAAGAGGCGTGGACTGACCGATGCTGCACTCTAGCATGGTCCCTCGGGTCTGCTCCTCCTGGGGGAGTGGGTGAACTTTGAACCCCACCAGATGGGCAATCTCTCTCCTCAGACAGAGAGATATTGCTGGCTCAACTGTGGGAGAGCAGAATAGTAGAGTGAACATCAATAACAACCCAAGTAGCAAGAGGGGCATACTAGCAACACTATGAGCTTTTCTCAGACAAACTTTAGCATTAAATCGGTGGTATCACGGACCACGTTTTTGTCCACAAACAGTACACGATGTATACACAACACAACACACCATTAAACCTGTAGTGTAATGTATCAACAAACCCTACCTCTATTGCACATCCTCTTGGAGGGAGGAAGACGGTCAGCGGGGAACGGATGTGAGCGGACAGTACATGTCTCTATGAGGTTCCCTAGTGTTGGGGTCGGTGAAGGAATCATTTTGAACTCTAGTAGCGACTGAGATTTTGGCTCCGGGAGGGGTTTGGTTGAGGGGTCGACGAGGGTGTGGTTCGCTGCGGACGAGGTCGCAGGGGGCGCGGGGGCGACGGAAGGGGGGTTGGAGGGAGGCGGCTGCGAAGAGGTGGAGTCCAGGTGTTCTCTCAGCTGCTGCTGCTCAAACATCTTCTCAAGGGCCGTCTTGCATTTTATGAGAGTCGGGAGAGGGACCCTGTGTGTCGCATTTTTGGTCATGGTTAGTTCGTGTACACTTAAATTCATGTTTGTTTACGCCTACTTGACAATGTAGCAAAATGCTAAGTTTAGAGGGGGCATTCTGTGGGTGTGGACTATTGTAAAGTTTCTTTTCGCCAGATATCCGTTCTTCTAAACGCCTCGCTCGACAGTAGCATGAACATACAGTAGTGAAATTCAGAAAAAGAAAGCAAATTTAAAAATATAAGGACAGAGAAAACGGAAGGAGAAGAGAGAGTGGTGAGAGGAGAAAGTCACCTCTTCTTGTCGTCCTGCAATAAACTGTGGAGGCTCTTGAGTTTCATATACTGCTCTGACTTGTGGGCGTCTTCACCCTCTTTCTTCAGTGTGCGGTTCATCATGCGAGTGAGGAGCGGGAGGTAGACCTGGAGCTCGTGGTGCGTCCGAAGGTACGCCTCGTTTTCTTCCGGAGTGACCGTGGAGTGGGCGGGGCTTCCGATGCTGGTTGCCGGGGAGGCAGGGAGGAGTGGAGTGGGAGGAGGGGCAGGCGATGGGACAGGCTGCGACTGGAAGATGACAGGTGAGTTCGTAATGGGATGATAACTTACAAACACAGGGCAGAGAACAACCAGCTTCGCAACATGTTCTGATAATGAACGTAGTACAACAGCAAACAATACAATGATGCTATGCACTGATTGAGTTTTGCGCAGCCTGGCTTACATTCTTCCGTGCGCTTCTGCTAGCTTCAGTTATGATGCAGTAGTCTTGTGCCGGGCTGCGTTTGCATCGCCACACAGCCCCTTGCGCACATGCATACAACAAGAACTTGCATTAATTTCAATGGGTCAAAGTTAAACACCACAACACTGTTACCTAACCAATTGTCGTCTTGACTTATGACAAATAATGTATTGTAATAGAAGTATGTTTTATACCTGTAGATAATTCATGGCAGTAGCTGAGGCTGAGGTGGAGGGAGGAGGGTGGGGGTGAGGGAGAGATGACTGTGGCTGGGAGGAAGAGGAGGAGGGTGGAGCGGAGGAAGCGGGAGGGAGAGAGGGAGCATTGGACGAGGAGGTGGCGGCTGAGGGGTTGGAGACTGCACTGCTGGAGGCTGGAGGCTGTGTGGGTGTGTGCGCACGTGCATGTGTGTGCACAAATAAACGAAGGGGTGGATAGCTACACAGGTGCACACAGCAGTCGCTGCAGCAAAAACAAAGCGCAACAGCATATACCATAGGTAAGCACACAAATCTAAAAGGACTTCACTTTATATGGTTTATGATCCATCTCTATTACACAGCTTCAAGTAAGTCTGGTAGATTCTCAAAGTGCACTCCATTCTATATGATGCTCACCCCTACAGAGTCATTCTATATGATGCCCACCCCTACAGAGTCATTCATGTGATTCTATATGATGCTCACCCCGACAGAGTCATATGGAGGTGCAGGCTGTCTTATCCCCCCGACGGAAGAAGCAGGGAGGTAGGAGGGGTTTGGGACCGCCATCACCGGCTGGACACTCCCACTGATGTCTGACGTAAACCCAGTCTGAACCTGCTGGACCATCGGTCCTCCGTACACTCCGCCCACCCTCCCCATCCCCGCCGGTATCCCTCCCCCCATCCCCATTCCCCCTCTCCCCATCGCCATCGCCATCGCCCCGGGCCCGCTGTGCTGCTGCATCATGCCTCCCCCGGCCATCCCCGGCATTCCGCGCCCCATCGGTCCCTGCTGGGGTCTCATTAGAGAGGGGTTGATTGAGGGTTGGCGCTGCGGTATCCCCATTCCGTGCATCTGGTTGGCTACAGACATCACTGGGTTGAAGTGTGGCTGATAGTTTACGTTCTGGAGAGAGAGAAAGGAGGAGGAAGGGAGGGGAAATATGGAGGGAGAGACAAAAGGAAGGGAAAGAAATAAAGAGTGTGCGTGAGCAAAGAGAGACATGAAGTAGTTAGCGAGAAAGGTCTCTAGGAATGCAAGCCAAATAACCACAACGCGCGTACTGTACATTCCGACCCATTGAACCCTTGCACCTGTTGGCATCCAAACATTGAAAGGACATCAATCGGGAAAAGGTACATGTAGTTCACTTGTTTGCCTTGCCTTGCCTTTCTACCTCGTTACCAAGTTGTTGAGACATGCTGTATATACCCCATAACTTGCACCCAAAACATATCTGGACGTTCAGCGCATTACGCACTCATTCAACTGTGTTTCCTTCACAAAAATTGCTATTGTGCTGCAAGGTTTTTTATTATAAGGATGGTGAATTCACCTGTGGGTAGTTGTGTACACTCATTGGGTGTTGGGCGTGTCCATATGGTCCACCGTGTACCATTCCCTGAGCAACCCCTGCCATCATTGGTCGTTGGGTGGGGTGCATTCCCGGTTGCATTCCATGCTGCATTGACCCGCCCACTGTGCGGTGCATGTGGGGAGAATAGTGAGGGTGTTGGGTGGGGTGCATCTGCTGGGCGGTCCCTCCTCCCTGCTGGTAGGTCTGGTAGCTTCCTCCTCCGCCCGGCTGCTGCATCTGCTGCATGGGGCGAGTCATACCCATACCTGTACATAGAAGGAGGGGGAGAGAGAAATGTGGGAGTGGGAAGAGGGAGAGAGGGGGGAGAGAGAAATGTGGGAGTGGGAAGAGGGAGAGAGGAGGGAGATAGGGGGAGAAGGGGGAGAGAGAAATGAGGAGTGTTCATAGTGGAGATAGGGGAGTAGAGCCATGAGGGAGTGGGACAGTGTGAGAGAAGCGAGCGGAAAGCAGGAAGAAACAGTGAAACGAGTGTGGAGGGCAGACGGGAAGACAGAGAGAGAGGAAGGTGGAATGCTCTAATACGTGTTTCGAAGAGACTGGAATGCTCAGGGGGAGGGGTGAGCATGTTTGTAAGTGAGTCAGACCTGAAAGGAAGTGAATACTGGCAGAACATCCACAACAAAAGGAAAACATATCGGGCAACATGGGAAGAACAGAGACTGTTCCTAGAAATGCGTGCAAGCACCACACTTGTCTCAATGACCACCTACCATTGATGTAGCACAGTATATACTACATGCATAGCTGCAATATGATATTCACACTATTCCAAACAGTCAAATTTATGGGTTGGAGAATGCACTTTTCTCTCAAGTTTTCAGCATTATCCAGTGCTATGCTATTGTTCTGGGTCTCAAGTGAAGATAGCAACTTTGAACAAAGATTAACTATTACGTGCAACTGTTTTGCATGTCTTGTAAGTACTTTTTGAGAGAGAGCCAAAACTCTATTTAGATTTCACGTTATTGAGAGCGTCCCCGCATGCCTCCTTTAAAAAATGGGTTAAGACTGGGACCCCGATACTATTATGTAATACCATGTAAAGTACCTGCAGGGTTGACTCCAGCCATGTTAGAGCCCGAGACGGAGTAGGAGACGCCGCCACTCAACTGAGACTGCTGCTGTTGGAGGTTAGACGACTGAGGGAGCGATTGATTTGACTGCTGGTGTTGCTGCTGCGGGTTCTGAGCTGCTAGGTCTGTTGGTGGTGGTGGTGGAGAAGAAGGAGGAGGATGGAACGAAGATAGTGAGTGAGGATGGAGAGTGAGTGAATGGGCACGGGAAGAGGAGAAAGGGGATAGGAGAAGCAGAGGATGAGCGAGGGAGAAAGTATAATACAAAGTAGAGAGAGGCAAAGACGAGGGAGAAAATGGCAGGTGCACCCATGCAGGCAAGGAAGCACAGCGCAAAATGTGGTCTGACAGCAAACCCAACCACCCATGCAACCATCCACACCACCACCACTTGGAAAAACCAACTGAACTTTGACCCGACGATAGTAACCCACTACCGCAGGGGCCTCACCAGATCACCAGCTACGCACTGCCAACAGCATGCACTATATACACACATCTGCCACAGTTCAGGGTCTAAGGCTTACTCGTTAGGTATAGGGTGTACCCCCACATGAAAGATACCCTTTTCACTGCCTAAGGAGGTAAATGCAATCAACCTTTCGGTATCACTCAGCCAAAACAACCTCCCTCTCTCTCTTCCCATTTTCCTTCTGCAGAAACACATACAGTACATTGCACATCAACAGGTAGCATTTTACGCCGCTTTTCGTAAGTGCAAAACTATCACACCTTCAAAAAAGGCAGAAAGACAAAAGAATATCTAAAATGTGGAAAGCAGCAACCCGTGAAAAATTTCTCAGAAAAAATTTTTAGCATGCCACTGAAGTTGCATGTACACATATACACCTGGGCAGATATCTCACAGTAACACCATGGCAACCTTCCAGGAAACCTATACAGCCCCCTCCGCCCACATCAAAGAGGTGCGAAGATATTAATGCCTACCAACAACACTACTCTGTGGCTGGCCAAAGAAAATTGGGGGGACTTTGGACGGAAACTAAGGTTTATGTGCTCCAGGAAACCTATACAGCCCACATCAAAGAGGTGCGAAGATATTAACAACACTGCTTTGTGGCTGGCCAAAGAAAATTGGGGGAACTTTGGACGGGAAAACTAATGTTTATGTACTTACTTTGAAGGCTCTTTCTCTTTGTTAGCATAAAGAGAATTCGCTGCAGCTTGGCCGTGTAGTCATCCTGAGGGGGGGGGCAGGCAGCAAACACACTAGACGTGTGAACATAGTATGTAGTATATAGTATGTGGTAGTTTGTAGCGAGAGAGCTACAGCAGCACCTAGCGTGTATGGCAATTTGTATACAACAGTGATGTCATGTGACACGTATGAAGGTCATGGCACTCTGCTGGCTCACGCGTTAACAGTGGGCGCCACTTCAGAGTATGTCTTATACAGAAATGTATACACGCTAAGCACTACTTTAAACGGGTCCAAAGACCCCCGAGGGTCAACTTACGTGGCTAATATGCAACGCATACGCACGTAATATGTGCCCCAAAGAGTACTACGCCAGAAACTAGTGTGGGCACCGGCAAAGGAGGTATATACATAAGAGAGGTGAAGTGTTTGAATAAATGAGGTGTCTAGCCACTAATAAGAGAAACACTGCATTGTATATGTAGCTGACCCTCAAGCAATGACCTATAATTAACCATTCAGCTACCTTCTACCTCTCCTATGATCATCGTACTGTGTACATCTGTGTGTGTGTGTGTGTGTGTGTGTGTCTGTAGTACATTCACCACACTAGTCTGCAGAGTACAGAACAATAAAGTTCAGATATTGATAGCAACTGATTGCACTGTCAATCTTGCAGACTGATTGCAAAAGAAACTGTCCTACATACCTGCTCTCTGGTTACTATAATTATAGCAAGCATTATCCTATGATCTGTGATATATAGCAGATGCATGAAGGTGCACTGAAAAACAATGGAGCTCCTCTCTCAGTAATTTCGGTTACTTGCCAATTATACACCAAGCATGTTATACTCTCACACACATGCACATTCACACGACGACGTGGCGAACAGGAAACGCCTTCACAGCCTGAGAAATTCTCACTGTTACATTGCACGACAGGGCGCTTCTGCAGCAAGGCACAAGGAACGCGCTGTGCAAGATAAGCCGTGTTTAGTAGTCCTATGAATTCACAAACGCCACACCTAGCTCTTTTATTATACACCCAGAATCGCGCGCGTCTTAGCTAGCTGCTGCATGTTGCTGCAGAGTGTTAGCTGCGCCGGAGAGAGAACGGCTCATTACCGAGTTTCTCGACTGGTCGAAGAGATTATTCTCCACGTCCGTGGGGTTCTGTAGGCTCGCCGGCGTGGATCCGGGGGTACCGGGGTAGTTCCGGATCGCCTCCTCCCTGCAGAGTGACAGACAGCACAGAGACTCTCGCTCGTGCAAAGACTAATCGCGCGACCGATCAATTAGCGGTGAACTTTTTAAGCCCTTGCACTGTTTGTGCGCATGCGCAGAGTGTAACTACACACCCACGCGGCGCGCGCGACGGCCACAAAACTCGTACACACCCCCGATCGACCCGCCCCATGTTGTTGTCCTCACACTTATTTGAACACTAGTCCCCCTGCAACAGTTTTTCAGGCCATTATACAGAGAAAGGCTCTATCAATTCCCTTATCTGAGCGAATATTGGCGGTTTAGTTTTATCGTCACTAAAAAGGAATCAGGTGTTTATGGGGCAGTGAAAACATTTCCCGCCAGTCGAGAGCAACACAAGTTGGTACCTAAATTCCATTACCAAGCATGATGCTTCGCAAAGCCGCGCGCTAGATTGAAACTTCGCAAACGGTGGGCATCAATTAAAGTGTACTCACAGTTGAGAGAGCGTCTGCCTGCGCAGCTCTTGCGGGACTCTGTCCGGCGGCAGTCCTTCAGTGGCCATCTTCTAACACCTAACATAAACTCTCTTCAACGCACGAGCAAGCAACACGCACTACGCGCAGACAGGAGACGCGACGATTACAGGAAATTCTACATTAACGCAGTGTGCGCAAGAAAACCAATTAGCTCGCGCACGCGCATAAAATGGGTTGATTACTAATCACACCTCATTACAAGTGACTTGATACACATGACGTTTCTGATTCCCTCCAGCTATACCACCAGCTCTCATCATGATCATTCTGTCTCCAGCCTTGGACGTAACGCTCCACAGTCCCCAGAGTCCCACTCCCGACACACATGTCAATGACAGGTCTGAGAACAGTCGAACTTTGCGGCAGGGCGACCGAAAACAACGGTGTGGCTTCAAACCCAACGAAAGGGAGTCTCCGACGATAGAAATCCATCGCTGATTTTGCGAGTGCCATGAGAGAGGGTGGTGGGAGACAATGGTAGTTTATGGCCGTACCCACAAGTTCCACAACGTGGAAAAGGTTGCAGAGGGAATGACACTGGTGCAGAAGATTTTCACCGTCGCCGAGAAAGCTGGCAATCTCAGCCTCGCTCGTCACCTTGGCTGCAATCAGGAACACCCTGAGATCCAGCCTCAACTTATCAACCCCAATCTGGGCCAGGGTTTGCAGCAACCTACTGGGTAAGAGAAGGAGTTGGAACTTCGGAGCAAGTACCTGCCGCTCGGCGTCTGAATTGCAGCTTAGGAGCTCGCGCAAGAGTTTGGCCAAGGGGGATCTGCTAGTCTCGCGAAATGTCACATTGCGCACCCTTCCAAGTAAAAACGCCTTGAAGATTGCTCCCAGGGTGGCTTCTAGATCTTCCGGGCTCCGAACATCTTTTAGAAAAAGCCAGAGGTTTTCTGTGAAGTCGAGATTTTCCCTCTGCTGGAAAACGGTGTTCTCGAGGGATGGCGAGACAACGTTGACTTGCAGCGTGTGTGACAGCGGAGAGTCAATCGCCTCCAGGAAATCATCCACTCTGTTAATGAGCAAAGGTTCCTCTCGTTTCGTAAGCACCTCCTCCCCTTCTTCCTCTGGGAAATCGCCCCACCATTCCCTCCCATCGCACACCGCCTCACACACCCCGACAAGAGTCTGCAGCTCTGAAAACGTCGAGATAGTGGCCTGAAGATTCCCAGGCTCCACCGCAATATGGAGCACACCCTCCGTGCCAAACACGGGTGGTGGAGAGAGAAAGGTTTCCGGGTTGTCCCAAGAAAATTCCACCATCATCCCTGCCTCGCAACCAGTTGAGCAAATCTCAAAAGACGTGATGGCATACCTGGCAAACGCATTTCCTTGTAAGTCGCCCGGTGTAATTTTCATGCCGTCCCTCTTTGCTCCAGCCTCTCCCGCCCCTCTCTCTCGCACACAGTAAACCCTCCTCCTTTCAGGCTCATGTGTGCATCCTAGCCCCACAATATCTTCCTGGACAGCTCCTTCGGTGTGTGTACAAGGTACCCAAAGGGCCGGTAAGGTCCCCGATTCCTGCAATCTACTCCCAACGAGGTAATAGGAGGCAAAAGCTCGAGCAAGGTCGAGTGAAAGTGGAGCGAGTCCACCGAGATTAGCTTGTCTGACAACAGACTGTGACTCTTCTGGGTGGAACGGGATTTCTTGTTTTAGGTACACCCGTTTTCGGAACAGCTTCGAACCAAGAAAAATCGCTCTTTTCTCTGAAACTTGAACAGGATCCTGTTTATTTCGTCCAACCTCTTTTCTTCCCTCTTTCCTTTCGCGACGGGAGTCCTCAACGAGAAATGAATTAGAAAACTGGTCAAGAATTGGCCTCAGTTCCGGGGACTCATCTTCTTCCTTCTCCCTATCTTGTTGGTGGTGTGGAGATCCCAGCACCACAGTGGGGCAGGGGAGGGGACCAGTTATCTCGAGAATGGGGACGAACAGTGGAGGTAGGAGGGTGGCAGAAATAGCCACGTTTCTCTCGCCAATTTTCAGCTCGTAGTCGAAAGACCCTTTTTGGGACCTGCTCTTTGATGTGCACTCGAGAAGAAAGGTAGTGAAAGTCTCAGCAAGAGCGGTTATATCCATCTCTCCGCCACTCTCTCTAGCTCTAGCATGCTTTTTGCGATGCGCGCGCATGTGCTTTCGCACCAAACTCGCGCCAAATTCTCTAGCAGGCACATGACTCGCTCCACCAATCAGATTGTGACAAATCAGCACGTTTGCATCATGCAAGTTTCGTCATCCCCGGACCGACCGCGACCGAGCAGCAAAACAAAGAAGACTACAAAAGGCTGGAAGATCGGTGGCTCCCTAGCCGTCCTCGGAGGCAGATGTCCTGAAATGGAGGCATAGCATAGAAGAAAGTAGCTAACAAAAAACAATGAAAACCCTCTGTGAAAAACCTCACCCTGTGGTCGAATCATGGAGGATCAAGCTGAAATGTACAAATCCAAGGCCGGTGTCGCCGCTGCGGCTGCGCTGACGAAGCTAACTCCTGAACTACTCCTACTTTGTCTACGGCTCCTGGCCAAGAACGGCGCTGCGAGGAAAACACCGTGTGCGGTGGTTCAGCCGAGACCTCACGATCTACCGCCGCAGCAAGCTGGCTCTCCGGACAGTGCTGTTCAGACCGCTGAGGAGCGGCATCGGGGAGCCCTCCTCTGTCCCTCGCTCGAACAAATCACACAGGTTTCCACGCTACAGCGGGAGGAAGAGGAAGAGGGGAGAGAGTGAGGAGCTGACGCATGAGTCAGAGAGAGGGAGAAAAGGTGTGTTGTCATAGTCTCCGGCTCCGGTAAATCACACTTTGCGTGTTCTCTTTGGTGGACACAGATAAACTGATGAACAGGCATAGCAGCTCAGAACGCCAGAGCACCGTAGGAAAACTATGTTGAGGCAACTTGGCAGAGAGAGTGCAGAACTTGACGCCAAGTATGTACGTTCTGTAGTACTTGGCAAGCATGTCGAAAGGTACACTTTCGCATGTGTGAGGATAATATGATGTTTCACGTGTGCGCATTACAGAATGAGAGCTCCAGCAGGAAATACCTGGCCTCAGACAGAAACAGATGTGATGAAACAGAACTCTGGATGATTCAGCTGTCCAGCAGCAGTCACACCACACCACCTCCACGCTCCACCTCAGCCAATAGTAGTAACGGCAGCTCACTCAAGTTGTCAGAGAGGACATCCTCGGATATCGCGGTCAGCAGGACCTTTCACTCTCTGCAGCAGAAGCGGATACTGGGGATCTCTTTGCTCGAGTCCCATGGTGACAGTGAGTGAGCTCAGAGCCTTCGTCCTTGTACCATTTTGAGTCACTTTCTTTGTGTCTATAGTTTGATCTCTTTGTCAGTTTCATCACCTGCTGCAAGATTACTCCTGGCATGACATCATCGCATCAGGTGGATCAGCACTGGCGCTGATGTCGACTTGGTTCCAGTCACATGACCTGGCCAACCAGGGGGACCAATCAGGGGCCAATTGTGGTGGGGGAACCACCCAATCCAACTGGAACCCGATAGCCATATTCTGAACCCCATGCCCCTAGCGCTACTGACCGCCGCCACATGTTCGCTCATCAATCCAGTGACAGGTTTGTCCCGATTTCGGCCGTTCCATTTCCGCCTCAATACCGAGAGTCTACTGCACCGCTTAGTCCCTGTTAGTATTGACTCTGCTGTTTAATGATTGTCTGCTGTAGCCAACTTCTCAGAGCATGACAGTTTCAGAGCTGGAAATGATGGCTGTCTCCCTTCTCTCTCCGTTGGCAGTGATTCCAAGCTTGACCTCCAGACTATTTGACCTTGTTGAATCGTGTCATGCGGCTGCTTGAGACGCTTATACATAAGTAATATTCACAAGACTGTGTTTCACTTCCAATTTTTTGTGTTTTTCATTACCGGGCTTTGTATTATCATTATTGAAAAGAAATTGACATAACCTGCTGATTATAACGAAAGACAGTAGTGATCATGCATTTAGACAGGACATATAAACACTGGAAATTTGCTATGCCTTGGCCGTGGTCTCTGACTTGGCGTTCTTTTTCTTCTTCGACTTTCCAGCCTTGACCAGAGGCAAGTTGGGCAGCTTGAAGTGTGCTCTGCAGAAAGACAAAGTAAAGTGATCAGCACCACACTACTTCTCTATACTTACTGGCACATGGAGCAGATCGGAGTGAATTGACAGAAAACTGCAATCAACATTCAATTATACAGGTAAGTATAATTATGTGACACGAATAGAAAATGGCAGGTAAATTGAAGGGCACACCCACTAGAGAGACAGACAGAGCAGACATGGCCGACGTCCACCAGTCGATGGTGGCAGAAACAAGAGGCATGGTAGTCCACCTTTACCGCTGATGGCAGCATGAGTTTATCTCTGCTGGTCTCATCCGGTAGAAACGTCCACTACAATCAAACAGAAATTCACTCACATTACGGTGAGGCTATGCCACAGCATTCATATTATAGCTACTCTAATGTAGCCATTTTGGATATTATCCCCTCTTACGGAGAAAAACTTACTATCAGAAACTGCAGTAAGCCTGCAGGCTCTGGAGTTTTTATATAAATACACCTGTGATATCTGAAGCCTGGAAAAATAGAGAGACAATGAAAACCTATGTAATGGGAGGAGTTCTCTATAATTATATACTTGCTGTAGAAATCCTGAGTCTTGCCATAAGACGCACGAGTCGATCACTATTTCTGTGTGCGAAAAAGACACAGAATTTACCGATGCAGTCCAATACGTATAGGTGGGCGACCAACATGTTTTGGGCAGCAAAGATGCAGTTCATTACAGGTACATACTGTGACGCGGTGTCTTGCGATGACATTATTACCTGCAGAAAGGCTCCACACATTTGATAGACAATTGCTACATTCAAAGTAACTTACTAGTATGCGTGAGTTGACTTTGGTTCCTAGTGGTGCCTCCCTACAACGCCTCTGGATGTCTTCGCCAAAAATTAAGTCTGAATCACTACCTAGGTTCTATTTCTTGCACAGATATATATTTTTCCTCATAGATTATTAGTCTGAATCACTAAACAGATATATATATTTTTCCTCCCTGACGGGGTCAAACTATAACAGTAAACTCTCTGTACGATGGAACTTTATCAACGTCTGCATTGAGTGTGGTGGGGATACAGCAGAGACATTTACTAAGTGCTCCCGATAGCGCTGAAGTACTGTGAACAGGGTGACCTGCAAGAAATTTAGACAAAATAAACTAATCGACAAACAAGATCTGCCTGAAAGCAACTATATATCTACCCAGCAAGTGTCAGGCACACTACATAAGAAAATGCATGGCAAAGTCCAAAGGCTCACTAGCAGTTTCGGTCACAGTCTTGCGAATCTCTTCAGTCAGGACTCGATTCATGTGGACCAGAGGCTCGTACTTTCCACTTGTGGTCTCCTCTGTCTCTTGGAGCCCGGCCTCCTCTCTCCCTGCCACTGGGTACACCATCCGACTGCAGCAAACACACACACAACACAGCTAATGAGGCAGCCTTTTGGTCTCACCTCCCTCCCTGATGACACAGGCAGACTCCGACGCTGTTTGTCTGCTGCAGAAGTAGGTAGGAGTTGAGAAAGGTGGTCACGTTATCCAGACACTGGGCCACGCTCAGCTGCACACACGAAAAGCACAGACACACTGCGTGTGTGACGACATTTGGGCACTTTATCCACCTGCTGCGCGGGGTTCTCCAGCTGGAGGCTGCGCGAGAAGGAGTCGGAGAGGTCGAGAAGGGTCACGAGCAGGTTGGCCTCTCTCTGCACCCCAGACGACGTCTCAGGGCCTGCTGCCATCGACCCAGCATTGTGCATACGACGACACGTGGGTTTCAGCTTACCTGGCCCCGCCCCATAATCTGTCCCCGCCCCCTTGTCGCTTGTATCCACGCCCACCGGAAGTACAAGGAGGGCGTATCAGGGGCGGTTTATGCGCAAGCGCGTACACGAAGTCTGCTACCGACCGCGCGACCGACCGACCGACCGACCGACCGCCCGACCGCCCGCCGTTACGTTGCTGTGTCATCCCTACTCGTCTGTACTGTCGGGCAGTAATCTGCAGTGGAGAACTCTTGGTTTCAACTCCTGGACTTGAGAAATATCTTCTGTTGTTGGTGAGAACTTGCAACATCTGTTTTTCCCATCCTACACGTTGCTAGCTACAACCACCCGCGAAATCAGGAAATCGCGTTGTGCAGGCACGCGAACGCATAGTCTCGCTAGCCAGACTCCCCCGAGAGAGTCTGGCTAGCGAGAATACCTCCCGCATGCCGTAAAATTCGCCCCCTAATCCTGCACGACGGGAGCACATAGTATCTCCTCCCCACACGATGAGCTATGCTCTGAGTCATTCAACCGTGCAACGCCAGGCAGAACACCTCCGAAATATGCCTGACCTCCTCCCCTTTCTTCTTTCTCTCTTTCTTCCTCTCTCTCTCTCTCTTTCTGTGACTCTGTGGGCTAGCAAGTGGAGAACTCAGCCAGCATGGACAGATCAAAGAAAGACGAGGGGAAGAGCATCTACCGCATCCCTCCCTACTACTACATACATGTCCTGGACCAGAACAGCAACGTGACCAAGTTGGTGGTGGGACCACACACCTTCATCAGACAAGACAACGAGAAGGTATAATATAGCTACATCTGAACAAGCGAGATCGAGATAGTTGAACATGTAGCTGAGAGAGAGGGAAAGAGAGTGCAGGTGTATGTTCCCAGGCCTTCCGTTACATTGAGCGTCATTTGTTTGTAATATTGTGGGTAAATATATACACGTTCCCTTTAGTGACTGCGAGTAATGCTAAACCACATTCCCCAGTACAGAACCACACATTTTCAGGATTATACTGCATCCCATATGCACGCCATACACTGTGGAGCAGTAATAGCATTCACAGACCTCTGCACACGAGCCCTCCCACTCTGTAGAGGGTAAAGTTGATACATGAGCTGCTGTGTTGCGTCTGGAGGATGAATCTGGTTTTGTTGGGCATTACCCATGACGAGGGTTCGGATAGCTCTGTAAGGGCAGTTAGCAAAGGTCATCACTCACTGATGAGTTCCTATCATTGTGTGTGTATATTGCTCATGCCAAGATATGCAACGAGGCATGCCATAACCATATGTACATGCCTACTAGCTCTGATCTGTACGTACATTATTTTGCTCACTTAAAGCGCTGGTTCGCAATACTCTGCTGTGCTGTCGCATTTTATGGCTTTTCAAGTTGTCGTACCTGCTGAAAATCCTGGCAAGTCACGCCGAGCGCATTATCACGAAATTGAAAACCTGTTTGTCATAAACTAATCACTTTCACATAACTTCCGCGGAGTTTTATGAAATGGGGACGGTGCCTATTGTTACATCTATGCTGCCACATAATGCTATCGCGACCACATTCAAAACTGAAAACACTCTGTAATTTTGCCAAACTAAGATGGACTATTCAGGTATGCAGTGTAGTATACATTTTCTGAGTGTGTGTTGTTCCCCATCTCGCAGGTGATAGTTGCGACCAGAGAAGATGATATGTGGTTCCCCGAGGCAACGACTGCGTGGTGGAGGAACCGGCCATGAAGACAAGGACGGCGAACGCGATTGTTCGATACACACGGACAGGTAAGATTCACCCCCATTCACTGGCGACGAGGTCTGCTCATTGAGCCATTGTACAGTAGGACCTGAGCTGTAGGTTAATGGTGGATGTAGAGCGTCACATGGAGGTACGTGTTCCTGCTGTGTATGGGTCAGGGCTGTCTGAATAGGCTAATAGCCCTCCGTTCCGTCATGCATGAAGAAGCGTTCAGTTCTAGGTGCACCACGGTGTGAATAATGTACACGCTGGTCCATATGTGAAAAGATTTTAAAAACGGAGATAATGTGTGAAAACGATAACTTGAGCGTATGTGAAAGATTTCGATTGGCAGACGGGAATCGCTCCATCTCTGAACATTAACACAGCGAGTTTGTGTATACATTCTCAACCTCAAGCGCCTCCCTGTACATTGGCGATCACATGGATCTATTGTACATCTATATGATAATAGATACACTTCTCCCTCTCCAGATAAAGCTGCGCCACGCAGATCAGGAGATACGGGTGGCACAGGACCGTTTCCTCTCTTCCCGGGAGAGGTCCTGAAGCAGATAGTCACCCAGCTGAAGGTGGTCCCGGCCAACACTGCACTGCGCCTGCGAGCCGTCCTCGACTTTGTGGAGGAAGGAGGGTCCAAGAGGACAGCTGGGGACGAGTGGCTGTTTGAGGGCCCAGGTTAGCTCTCACCCACTCTCTGGTGGAGGACTATTATGTTGCCGGAGCCTGTGACCTGACACAGTGTGATGTAGCATGAATTAGAGGGTATCGGGCAATGCAAGTGTGTGTGAAATCAACAAGCTGGGAGTTCTATAGTTGTGACAGGCTAGCTTCACAAGCTGGGAGCTCTATAGTTGTGACAAGCTAGCTCACTGTGGCTTTACTTCCTGCGTTTACAGACCACATCATTTTCATGCATTTTGGTGTGGGTATAATTAAAATACCAGCTTCCCTTCAGCCGCTGCTGTGTCATTGTTAGAAGACTTCCCCAAATTTTACCATGCCAACTCATGCTGCTGTGACTATTTTTAGAATGCCCCGTTCTTACATCACTGTATCTACTATTTACATATAATGTTTCTGCATATCCTCTGTACAATAATTATGTGTAGTGTGAAACCAATATAGAAAGTGTGCTGGTTTGTGAAGTGTCCTTATTTCGGGGTGTGTTTATTAGCAGGGTTTCCCCACTCTGTAGGGACCTACATTCCATACAAGGAGGTGGTTGTCGAGGAGACGATCAGGGCCACAGTCATCAAACCAAACCAGGCCATTAAACTGAGGGCCCGCAAGGAGACTCTGGTACACTTCACGAACAGCTATATACCTCTTTCCTCTCTCTTCCAGTATTTCCCTTCTCAAATATTCCCTGCCGGTTAATGATGAATTTTTCAACTCTCCTCGTTTTCCGTTTTCAACTGCCTTATAACCCTTTCTGTCCTTATTCCACTTGCTATCTCTGCCCCTCTCTCTCCTCCTCCTCCTGTTCCACTTCTCCTTGTCAGGATCGAGACGGGAACCCCAGAGTGACGGGAGAAGAGTGGCTGGTCAAGAAGATTGGGGCCTACCTTCCTGGAGCCTATGAGGAGGTGGTGGAGCTGGTGGATGCCTATGTCCTCACTGAGAAGGTCAGTCAGTCACTTAGTAAGTGATCCACTGTGTTTGATACGTATATAAGTCAGGCCAGCTATGCTAAAGTTCTGAAGTTTAGTTGGAGACATTGAACTGGGCAGAGTTCCCTCAGTGTTTCTTTACTGCAACAGTTGGAGTGTGGTGCAAATTGCTCATACTGCTCAACAAAATCTTAGCAGAGCGAGTTGTTTTTTTTCGTGATGTGGTGCTGAATGTATATATAGGCATGATGGTATGTGGTGCTGAATGTATAGGCATGCTTGTGTGGTGTAGGTTGCCCTGCACATGAGAGCCACGCGGACCTTCACCGACCGCAATGGAGTCACCCACAGGAACGGAGAGGAATGGCTCATCAAGATGGAGGACACTGAGGCACACATTCCTGATGTCTACGAAGAGGTGGCTACTTCTCTCTCTTCTTTCTTCTTTCATCCCCTTTGTCACCATTCTTATGTGCCCTCCTCCCAACCATGTTACACTGTACCCTCCTCCCCACCATGTTACACTGTACCCTCCTCCCCACCATGTTACACTGTACCCTCCTCCCAACCATGTTACACTGTACCCTCCTCCCCATACAGGTAGTAGGTGTGACCAACATCACCACACTGACCAACCGGCAGTATTGCGTCATCCTGGACCCTGTAGGCAGCGACGGGAAACCCCAGCTGGGCCAGAGGAAGCTGGTGAAGGGAGAGAAGTCGTTCTTCCTGGAGCCCGGCGAGAGACTGGAGAAGGGAATTCAGAATGTCTATGTTCTAGGGGAGGATGAGGGGCTCATTATGAAGGCCATTGAGGAGCATACCGACCCTGACACTGTGAGCTAGGCACAGAGGGAACAATAGTTAATTGCCTGCATTCCAGGCACATGCTCCACTTCCTGCACCAAGCGAGTCCACCTACTCATCTCAATTGCGCAGTTTTCTATAACTATTGGTGCCCTCAATGCTTTACATATTTGTAAATCCACGAAATTTCGCACTCCTGTTTTCTCTCAGAAGTGGGTTGCTATATTGCTAACAGCTGCAATTCGAGCCATGCTTTGCATTCATAATCAGCCCTGCCAGGCCCTGGCTCTGCACAGTTATATCTCCCTTCTCTTCCTCTCTCATTGGATAAACTATTATCTCTCTCTCCTTCTTTCCAGGGAGCGTCTCGCCAGCCGGGCGATCGCTGGATGATCAGAGGGCCCCAGGAGTACGTCCCCTCGGTAGAGGTTGAGGTGGTCACCAAGCAAAAGGCCATTCCTCTCGACGAAAACGAAGGAATATACGCCAGGGACATCAAGACTGGAAAGGTACATCAAACTTTTGTGAGATGTGAAGTTTTGGAACGACATCATTACCCTCGGAAGTAATCAAGTAGAGGCAGGCCAAGTGTATAACTATCCTTTATCAGAGGGTCCTTTTCAGAGGTTTCACTGTCGTACATGTTCTGTATACTACATGTGCCTGAAGTGGGGAGTTTGTTACTCAATATGGTAAGACAGACAGACACAAGCAAATCTTAACTATTTGTGAGGCTCTGGGTGCAAGTTGCTAAAGTCACTCATTCTCTACGTGACAGGTGAGGTCTGTGTGTGGTTCGACGTACATGCTGACCCAGGACGAGGAACTGTGGGAGAAGCATCTTCCACCGGCCGTTGAAGATCTCCTCTCTCAGGCCAAAGACCCCCTCGCTGACCGCTCCGATAGATGTGAGCGAGAGGGAGGGGGAAGGGAGGGAGAAGAAACCTTTGACTGACAGTTTGAAACCCTTTTCAAAGGGCACTCCTGAAATGAGGACAACTCTCCAATAAGGGGGACACCTTTTTCCCAAAGAACAGTTAATTTTTTGCATGAATTTCTGAATAAGGGCCCCTCTCTAATAATGAATACTTTGGTGTCCAGATACGAAGGGCTGCACTGTTGACGTACACGGCTAACTGTAACCACTAGCAACCTTAGTTCCTTACTCTACCACTTGACTGTCCCCACAACACAGCTCGGGCAGTAGTCTCTACAAAGAGAGACAAAACGAGGGTCATCACCTTCCGAGTCCCGCACAACGCCGCCGTGCAGATCTACGACTACAAACAGAAGACGGCACGTGTCATGTTCGGGCCCGACCTCGTCATGCTGGAGCCGGACGAGCAGTTCACTCAGCTGTCTCTCTCCGGCGGGAAACCCAAGAGGCCCAATGTCATCAAGGCCCTCTGCCTCCTCTTGGGGCCCGACTTCTGTACCGACATCATCACCATTGAGACCTCGGACCACGCCAGACTCTCTCTGCAACTGTCCTACAACTGGTGAGTGGAGGGAGATACCGCTTTGAATCCAACTATGTGTGCTTGGCTATGTCCATACACTCGACCTCAGCACAACATGGCCCTAGAATTAATAACCATAGCTCTAGAGCGTTAGAGCATTGCTTTTCACTTTTCATTTCCAGGCATTTTGAGGTGGCAGACAAGGGGAGCGAGAAGGAGGCGTCCAAGATTTTCTCGGTGCCAGACTTTGTCGGTGACGCCTGCAAAGCCATTGCCTCTAGGATCAGAGGAGCTGTGGCTGGGGTCCAGTTTGACGACTTTCACAAGGTATAATATAGGAAGTGGAGTGTGTGTGTGTGTGTGTGTGTGTGTGTGTGTGTGTAGTCAATAATAAGGCATGACCTGGTGTGCCTTATGGATAGGTGTCCTTAATTGGAAGAGTCCTTTTTCGGAGGTTTGACTCATGAATAAGTCTGTATATATATATATCTGCTGGCTAACTCTCTAATTCTCTCTCCTCCTACCCTCCGCACAGAACTCGGCAAAGATCATTCGTGCCTCTGTTTTTGGTATAGACGATAAGGGAAAGGTCCGCGATCGCTTCGCCTTCCCTGCCAACTGCCTCGTGATAACCAGCATCGACATCCAGTCGGCAGAGCCAGTCGATCAGAGGACTAGGGATGCTCTGCAGAAGTCAGTGCAATTGGCCATTGAGATCACAACCAACTCCCAGGAGGCCACTGCCAGGTGTGCGCGGCGCGCGTGTGTGTGTGTGTGTGTGTGTGTGTATTCAAAAGTTTGTTCAAAGTATACAGTTGTGTATGTGTGTATGTACTGTATTACGTCCAACCGTCACACAATTTACGAATAATAAGTGCACACTACCTATGTACGTGTAAACTACCAGTCTTTGAATTCTGAAAAAACACGTGTAAGAACAAAACCTAGGGAAAAGAAAACCCATCTTCATCCTTGGAACACAAAAACTGACACCCACTACAATAGAGAAGGAAAGAGAGATGTGTAGCTACACATGTAGATGATACTATGGAGGGAGAGAGACTGTAGCTATACATGTGAATAATATGCTACTCCATACATTCCAGACACGAGGCAGAGAGGCTGGAGCAGAAGGCCAAGGGAGCTCTGGAGCGACAGAAGATCACGGACGAGGCTGAGGCAGAAAGAGCACGCAAGGAGCTCCTGGAGCTGCAGGCCAACAGTGCGGCAGTTGAGTCGACGGGACAGGCCAAGGCTGAGGCCCAGTCACGAGCAGAGGCTGCCAAGATCGAGGGACAGGCTGCAGTAGAACAGGCCAAACTGAAGGCCCAAGCCAGCAAGATTGAGGCGGTAGGTACAGTGAAACCTCGGAATCAGTTCCAACTTAGAGACGTTGAAATTTGCATGGGCTATATCAGTATTATGATAAGAGTTTAGGCTGGGTATGTTGCATCGCCCCATCGCACTGTGCTGCATCACGTTGTGCTGCGGAGATTAGAAACTATCCTCTCGGTGCAGCAAAGCTGCAAGGCGCGACAGGGCAATGCGATGTGTATTGTGACCCCAGCCTTATTCGTGCGACTACTACCACTAATTGTTGTATAATATTACTCTCACAGGAATCAGAGCTGGAGAGGTTGTCGGGTGCGCGGGAGGCAGAGACAAAGTTTGTAAGGGAGCAGAACGACCTCGAGATTGCCAAGGCCAGGGACATGGCGACCATCGAGACACATAAATTCAAGGACATGGTCGATGCCATTGGCTCGCAGACCATTCAGGCTATTGCCACTGCCGGCCCTGAGATGCAGGTATTTAACAGTACACGAGTATACATACACCTCAACCTTCCTCTACAACTACCCTACTTCACTCTTGCCTGACGTACGTACATACAATAGCTATTGAGAACTGTTGTACATTGTCCGCCTGATCACACGGAAAACTATACTTACCCACGAATGTGCTGATCATGTGGTGGTCTATTTAGCCCAGATAGTTAGACGTAGCACCATGTACAAAGGTCCAAAGTGTATAAAGATCATTATGCTCAGTGAAAATGTTAGTGATTTAGCAACCAACTACTGAGTAAGGGTCCAAAATGTATGTGAGGGGGCATGGGAAAAGGGACCTATATGGCTGGAATGTGAAAATTAAGTTTTTGTGGTTAACATTTTCACATTCCAGCCATATAGGTCCCTTTTCCCATGCCCCCTCACATTATGTATACTTTCGCGCAATATCTTCGGGAAGCTGTGTTTTCACTCAGGGTTGCCGTTCTTTCACAGGTGAAGCTGCTAAAGAGTCTGGGGCTCAAGTCCACTCTGATAACAGACGGATCAAGTCCCATTAACCTCTTCAACACCGCCCACGGGCTTATCGGAGCTCTCGAGGCCCCGCCCCCTGCCAATCCTTCCACCTCCTGAGTTCCTACATGGCTATAATACACAGATAGCTTAGCTGCAGTCTGGTGGACAGTGGGAACAATAGTAGCAGATTTTAGACTTACTTAGTTTTTTGAACTCTTGTGAATTTTTCTTACACGTTGTATGCCACCGTGTGTACTACTGTGTGGGAAAATTTTGATTTGATATCTGCAGCAATAGTGCAAAAACGGATAAAAAATTCTGAGTTGAAATCAAGTTGAGGCTCCAATGAGGATAAATCAAACTGTTTGACATCGAAAGTTCTTCTCCGCCATCTGTGCTAGTGTTCTGTTCTCTTCCATCTTCCGCGCTATTTTTCTGGTTCGCGTGGCCAGCTGAGGTCTCCCGTACCTGTAAATGTCATTCATCGAGCAACGTTTCCTGACACCAGCATGTATGGCTCCGTCCATTGCTCTAGGTGCGTAGTCTATGGCCCGAGTATTATTTTCAGACAGTCCCACTATTACTTGAATGGGTCGACAGACTAGCCTTGTGTACCCCATTATTAATCTAACACACATCCTGACAATATAACCATGGATCATTATAAGCACTGGCACGGAGAGCAATATAGATGGAGGCTCTCATATATCTGTGGTGGAACTTACCCCCCAGTCCATGTTGCCACTCTTCACACAGAGGGCTTTGACTCTAGTGAGAGCTCCCTCTCCTCCACTGAGAATATTTGAGGAACGATGTCTGAAATCAGCCGGCCACACTTCCCCGCCGTCGCTCCCGACGCGGACCGTAGTGGGTTCACTGTCGAGAGAAGAGGAGGTCTTCAGAATGGGGAGTTTCGGTGTTTGATCGCGATGGGGTACGGCTACTGGGTGTGTCGTGGGTGCAGAGTGCATGTGGGTGAGGACAGGATGTGCGAGGGACGGCTTTGTGAATCTGAGGTCTGCCTTTCTCGCTCTCGGCTTCTCTGGTTGGTCCGTTTCCGGAGCATCCAACCGGTCTGCTATACACAGATGTAACAGTCAACATAATATAATTATAATAATTTATATATACTACTATTGCTCATGTATATAATATATATATATATATTGCTTATTACATTTCCTTATGGAAATACACAGAAAAAACATACTATAAAAACTACTTCAGATGCTACACAGATGTCCTTGGCAGCATAATGCACGGATAAACCATATTGTTAGAAAGGAAGCTCGATAGTATATCACACGCCTCATGGGTAAAGATTACTATTCCTCAGGAGTTTACTAGTTACCTCGTGAAAAGTGAAACCTACCGCTGTGTGTGTTGTACCACTTCTGGTCGTGAGCAAGAGCAACTGAAGACAGGAAGCCAAGGCAGTCTTCACTGTCCAAGTCACTCTCTCCTATTATCATACAGAAACAAACTTTAAGAAACAAACAACTATGAGAGGTTGTTTATCAGCAGCAAAGGTAAGACTTTCCCCGACAGGTTTTGCTTACCTTCTGCTTCAAAACTGTAGCTACTGTCCAGCCTGGTACTGTTGTGTGTGTGTGTATAAATATTGTGTAATGAAAACGAAAGGGTTGCAATAAAGCTGCTAACGTTTCTATTTGTATGTCTCGGAGACGGGGAACAAAGAAGATCAGTACAGAAGTCCTGCCAACATCTCCAACTTCCTTTCCCTTTACACCTGCCAGCAATGCCTACACAAAAGGGGGAAATAGTTATTTCTACAGGCACCTGAGACACTTTTAAACTTCATTGCACTGTGTCAGATCACACACTTAATAACATACTTACACCAGTGCTTGTGAAATAATAGCCGATGGTAAAAAGGACTGGATTGTGGTTGGACCTACTGTATCGTGTGAAGTCTCACTTTGCAAAATGAATCGACCAACTTGTATCGATGGTACAGTGACTCAGTAGAGCTGAGTTGACCCAACACTGCCAGAAGATGATCCGATACTATTACATAAAGCAGAGAGCAAAGTGAAAAATATTAATTTGCTTATTGTAAACGTACATGGAAGTTCCGGAGTTCTTGTTTTTTGTACCCCTAATTCCCTTAATCTTGCCTATACATTGTAGAGAACAACAAAAACACATTAGTAGTCAAAATCTGTTCTTCGACTCTTTGCTGTACACACCTGCAGTGTGAAGAAATCGAGGTAATTTCGGTAGATTTCAAAGCTACTTCCATTTGACCAACTGACATGAACGGCAAAATCCTGTAAATGGAGGAAAGTAATCGATATCCTGCACAAAATACACTCCTTACGTTCATGTTTTGTTGTTCCCTAAAGCCAACCACACCGGCTCCTGTCAGATCATGCTCTCCGATGTTTGGAGAGCTGTTTAACAACAACAACAACAATAAAATTATCTTGAGTGGGACATTCAGAGTTTACTCAACGGGATCACCCACCAACCATCAACAGTATGTCCAAAAACAGAAATTGGCCATTGGAGCCAATATTACCCCGCTTAAATAAGAGTTATGTACACTTATCACAAACTTATAAGGCAACCCCATTCTGAGGGCTTAATAAGCATTGCACTCTCCAGCTATAGGGAATGCATTCAGAATCATTGCTTGGCCTGTCCTTCCTCCTATGTCCTTAGGCTGTCAATTGTTAAGGTGAGAAGGAGATGTTAGTTGTGCAGCTTTTAAACTACCTGGAGGTAGGTATTGAGGTGTTACTGCTGGAGATAGTGTACTGTCGAAGTCTGCCCAACAGCTTATTGTGCTCCAGTAGTACATCTGCTAAGTCACTTGTAGTGAATAACTGAGGTTTCAGAATACTCCCTTCATTATGAGCTTCATCATTCCCCACTTCTCTCCCAGCTTCATTCTCCCCATTCAGGAGACCTGCTGCTTCCTCTGTGAATCCTTCAGAGGCATTCGGTAGATGATGGCTCTATTGAGGGGAGGGATGAGGGAAATACAGTCACACTCACAAGCTCTCTGTGTGTCACATGCTGCAAGGTGGTTAATCGTTGCTGATGTAATACACAACACAATACACTGCCAGATTAGTAACTTACTACACAGTCGACTAGACTCTATAGTACGAGCTAGACTATAGTAGCTACCATGCCAAAGTGAAAATAACAAGAAAATAACTTGCATAGAATTGCGTAGGGTAAGCTCACTGTTGCTTTGCTGTGGGTGAGGGAAATGTCGGGGACTGTCTTGAGCTTTGGAAACGCAGCACCAACTTCCGTGACAGCTCTGAAAACCTGTCGGATTATAGATCTCACATTACAATACAGAGTTGCACGAATACTGCGCACCTTCTCTTGTTCTTTATTCCTGAGAAAGACGAATGAACCTCTAAAAGCACCTCGCAAACGTTCGTTTTCGGCCTTCAGCGCCTAGACGGCCGACGGTAAACATCGTGTATAGCTAGCTAGAAATTCCGTTAGCTTGCTACATACTTGTGCGTAGTCCAGAAGCGTCCGCACATCGCTTCTCAGGTCTTTCAACTGCTGCGCCACAGACATACTGATCAGGATTTTCCTGCCCAATCGCACAAGGAGAATTAGTCACCGGCTCTCGATTGACCGTCATCGATCCGGGCCGTCGCCAATTCCGCATACGCATGCGCAGCTGGGCGGGGCTCAATCTAAGGGTGTAGCTGAGTGCAACACACGGGGACACAGGATTTGCTGTGCTGATTTCGAGAGCTGGCCGCCGCTACAGCTGGGATATCGTGGCTCCGAAGGATGGCGACTACTTTCACCACTCACAGGCAGCCCCTGGAGTACCTGGGCGGCGTCCGGCGGTTCCCCGTGCCGGAAGACAAGACCCCCTGGTCCGTGGACTACCCCGGATACCACCCCGTGGACTACACGGCACCTCGCGTCCTCTCCCGTCCCGTTTGGGCAGACCCCGACATCAGGTCTCTAATGAGGCATAGCAGTCAATCATTTTTGTTACAATTAGGAGCAAAACAACCACATCCCACATTTGTTTTTCCTCAAAATCTGTTGTATTCACACAAGCTCTGTGTATATTTGCAGGAAGGAGGAGGAGCCGGAAAAACCGCTGCAGTTCAACTCATTGGACGGTAAAGTGGACAGAAAGAGTCACATGGGCACCTACCAGATAATGGACAAAGTTCCCAGGTATCACTACTACCACTTCATTTTGAGCCCAGGGGGCAAAATTTATGGGGGGAAATTGGCCCCTTGCCCCCCCCCCCCCACACCTCTCTAGAAGAACTGTTCCCTACCTCTCTTCTCCCTCCCTCTCTGTCCCGTTGTGCCTGCAGGAACCCAGTGGGTCGGACAGGGATGATCGGGAGGGGTCTGCTCGGGAGGTGGGGACCCAATCATGCAGCTGACCCTGTCGTCACCAGGTGAGTTCACAAAAGATTTTAATACAACAAACTATTATCCAGGTGCATACACATGCAAGAATGAATAAAGCACAATCCTGTTTAGGAACTCACTTGGAAAGGAAATTTGAATAAAAACACTATACAGTAGTTGTTGGCCTGTTTACAGTGTCACTCTCTGTGCAGGTGGAAGAGAGATGGGAGTGGAGCTAGAGTGGAGAGAGAGGGAAAGCCAGTGTTGGAGTTTGTGGCTGTCAGAAGAGGAGACACTGGAGCCTGGGCCATCCCTGGAGTAAGTTACACTACCACAAAATGATAGAGAAGGAGAGCTGTGTGTGAATTAGGGGCCCACAGCAAGTCAAGTGGGCTTTTGCATTGTTTTATAGCGTTACATTTTGTAGTAAATTCGAATCTTTTCACTGCTGTATTTTCTTCGAATTTTGGGCCTAAATGTGTATCAGTTGATTTACCTTACAGTCTGAGCCCCTCCCTCCAGGGTATGGTGGAGGCAGGAGACACGGTGTCGGCCACACTCAAGAAGGAGTTTGGAGAAGAAGCGCTCAACTCCCTCGAGGCCACGGACGAGGAGAAGAGAAAGATTGAAGAGCACATCAACCACCTCTTCAAGTCTGGAGACAAGGCATGAATATATTACCTCAAGATGCCAGTTTGAGTGTATTAAGTCTGTGAATACGCTATTTTACTATTAAATTTTGCCTCCCCAATGTACGTAGTTGTATGCAGGGTATGTAGATGATCCTCGGAACACAGACAATGCCTGGATGGAGACAGTTGTCTTTAACTTTCATGACGACTCAGGTCAGATATATATTATATCTACACAAACCAGTCATTACTGCACCCACTGCTGTTTACACAAGACGTGATTGATATTTGGGGACAGATTAATAAACATGCCCCATATCTCTGTTTTTGCTGATAAGCATGTAAGCTACAGTTTGATTATGTTCACATGCTGATAGTGCTATATACATATATATACTTTACTTAGCAATAGCAATCATTAAGGGAACGAAGGTCAATTTTTGTTCTGAGTTGTAACTCAATGCCGTCACTGATAATGCCTGAGTTCAATGACGACAGACAATCTCTCTCCCTGGCCTTTGTATATATGTAATGTACATTGGGGACTTATTGTGAGGTGTGGAAACACACACTACATATGATGATGATGTAGGTGAGGGTTTCAGTAAGCTGAATCTGGTTGCCGGGGACGACGCGGCTGCCGTGGCGTGGACGGAGGTCCACTCTGGTCTCGGTCTCTACGCCAGCCACTCCCACTTCGTCCGCCTCGCTGTGGAGCACCGGAAAGCCGCCTGGTAGCACAGTGGGACACTAGACTTGGCCTATTTGTAAACTACACCCTAGTGGCATGCAAAGCAAGCCTATATACCTAGTTTTTCCTTTTTTATAAACGGCTGTACCTGGATAGTGCCGTGTGACCTGTTCTCTTATTTGGCAAAAGTGATCTGAATTTATTTTTGGAAGGGATACTTAACTACTACGAGCAGGTGGAATTAACTTCGCATGGAAAGCAGCATCACGTGAAATGCGAGAGGTCAAGTGGGCATCAAATTGGCGTTGAACCTCACGATATGTATACATGCAGAGGGCTGGTTATCATACTGACAATATGTACCTTTCCACCAGTAGCCACCAGTACCACGATGGATGGCATGAGTATACTGACAATATGTACACTTTCCACCAGTAGCCACCAGTACCATGATGGATGGCATGGGTATACTGACAATATGTACCTTTCCACCAGTAGCCACCAGTACATGATGGATGGCATGAGTATACTGACAATATGTACCTTTCCACCAGTAGCCACCAGTAGCCATGATGGATGGCATGGTTATACTGACAATATGTACTTCTCCACAGTAGCCACCAGTACCATGATGGATGGCATGGGTATTACTGACAATATGTACCTTTCCACCAGTAGCCACCAGTACCATGATGGATGGCATGAGTATAATGACAATATGTACCTTCCACCAGTAGCCACCACTACCATGTGGATTGGCATGGGTATACTGACAATATGTACCTTTCCACCAGTAGCCAACAAGTACCATGAGTGATGGCATGAGTATACTGACAATATGTACTTTCAACCAGTTAGCCACCAGTACCATGATGGATGGCACTGCGTGTATACTGACAATATGTACTGTCCACCAGTAGCCACCACAGTAGCCATGATGGATGGCATGGGTCTATACTGACAATATGTACCTTTCCACCAGTAGCACAGTAGCCATGATGGATGGCATGGGTTATTTTTGTTTATAGCTGACCATATGCTACCTTTCACCACAGTAGCCACAGTAGCCATGATGGATGGCATGGGTTATACTGACACGATGTACCTTTCCACCAGTAGCACACCAGTACCATGATCGGATGGCATGAGTCTACTGACAATATGTACCTTCCACCAGTAGCCACCAGTACCATGATGGATGGCATGGGTATACTGACAATATGTCACCCTTTCACCAGTATGCACCAGTACCATGATGGATGGCATGAGTATACTGACCATATGTACCTTTCACAGTTAGCACCAGTACCATGATGGATGGGCATGGGGTTCTACTGACATATGTACACTTCCACCGTTAGCCACCAGTACCATGATGGATGGCATGAGTATACTGCACAAAACATGGACCTTAAGGGTGTGTTTATAATTTTAAAAAATGTTCCTGGTCGTGCTTTAGTCCCTTTTGATCCCTATCAACAATAATTACCCATTTCACACCGTATCCATCTGGAGAGAAAGATTCGTAAGATCATCACCAATACACACAACGTCGCAGTTGTGGTACTACAACTTCAGTACTCTGTCTCTCCCACCACTTGCCACTCTCTCCCCGTCCGGACTCCATCCACTGCAAAGGACAAATACCTCCGACATCATCACGACATCATTGGCCAATCGACCAACAGGGAGGAGGTTATATACTCGTATGCATGTCGGGCAAGTCGGTGCGGTTGGAGGAGAGCGGGTCTGATGTGTCCCAGACTTGAGAGTGCTGTCGGAGCTCCCGCTGCAGACGAGTCGGCTGTCAGCTGACCACGAGATCTGATAGACTGCCACTAAGTGGCCTCGCAGACTGGCCACGTATCTAACAGTAATACGTACACCATTAGAGAGACATTGAGCTGAGTTGCCCTGGTAGCTCAGTTGCTTTAGAGTGCTCGCCTAGACTGCAGAGTGTGGTGGGTTTCAATCCCACCCAGGGCAGCTCTTCTTCTTTTCTTTGAGCGTCCTGGGTGTAGTTGACTGTTTGCCTGACTTGCCTTTTTACCTCGTACCAAGTTTGTTGAGACATGCTAATCGAACCCATGTGGTAATATAGGCTAGGCTTCAATCACTCACAATGAACTTCGTCTTACAAAAAAAGTGGCATCAGTGACAATTGCGGCTTTAGTTCAGAGTTGCAGTAGTTAAAGGGTAACAAGTAGTGTACGGTCAGTGGTATAACACCGCCACACTTGGTAACGCCGCTGGACAATGGACAATGTTGTTTTCTGCTTTCACAAGTGAAACGGGTGTACACATAGTCATCTGAATGCTGGATATCCATTTCACTGTCACGAATAGTGGAAATTTCACACTCTCACTTTCACTCGCCGAAAATGCTTTGCATTCCTTATAGTAATGCTCGGTTTATCTCACTTGCCGGTTCTCCCGTCCCATAGTTTGATGGACCTTGTCGAAGGAGGCACTGGCTATGAGTCTGGCATTCGGTGAGAACAGCACTTGGGGATAGCTGCTGTCGTGACATGTGCATATTACACGTTTCGCGGTTAGGAGAGATTGCGATTTTGGCAGTGAATTCCTTTGAGTAAGGGACACCTAGGGACAACAAATGTTTCCTTTATTCAGAGGTGACCCTTATATTTGAGTAAGGGACACCTTGGGACACCAAATGTTTCCTTTATTCAGAGGTGACCCTTATATTCGGTGGTTAAACTCTGAATAAGGGGCACCAAATGTTTCCTTTATTCAGAGGTGACCCTTATATTCGGTGGTTAAACTCTGACATAAGAGAGACACCAATGTTTCCTTTATCAGAGGTGACCCTTATATTCGGTGGTTAAACTCTGAATAAGGGACACCAAATGTTTCCTTTATTCAGAGGTGACCCTTATATTTGGTGGTTAAACTCTGAATAAGGGACACCAAATGTTTCCTTTATTCAGAGGTGACCCTTATATTCGGTGGTTAAACTCTGAATAAGGGACACCAAATGTTTCCTTTATTCAGAGGTGACCCTTATATTTGGTGGTTAAACTCTGAATAAAATAAGGGACACCAATGTTCCTTATCAGAGGTGACCCTATATCGGGAGTTATTGGTTTTTAAACTCTGAGTAAGGGACACCTTGGGGACATTGAAAGGTGGAGTGTGGGGCAGAACCATGTGTCCTGGCTATATAGACCTGTAGTACATTCTCTCATACCGGTCATCCTGGCAATGTGTTTCTTGCTGTCTGCTGGGTTCCAGAGAAAGAGAGTGAAATCATCTGAACTCAGCTAAACCAACACCGTCTATCCCCTCACTGCTCTGCTGCATGCACACACCACACACACACCGCCAAAACCTAGTTTGTCGATCTCTCACATCTAACAAACAAACTCAGTGAGAAAAACCACATGCACCACATGGGGAAGTGGGCGAGGGAGAAGGGCAAAAGGCACATAGCTAGAGATGTGACAGTGACAGAGATTGTGTATATTCAACCCTCAAATGTGTATAGTCCGGACAGGCAGTGTGCGTGGATTCTATGGATTATGAACACATTACCTTAGTCGGCTCGTATCGAACAAGGGCCTTCTCTGGAGCTCGAAATCTGAAACTGAAAGAAAAAACCTCATTAAAATTAAAAACACACGTAGCAAACCACAGTTTTTGTAACCCTGAGAACTCATAGCTGCAGAATACTACGGCCCATTTTCTGAGACTCCGTGTGGTGGCGGGCGGGGTCGGCGGGGTCAATAGGCAGCTGTTCTGAGAGAGTCGTCGTGGTGCTGGAGAGCCATGTGTTGGGACAGTGACCGTGACTGGGAGACTGCGACAGGCAGACATCCATGCGCGTGTGAACGAGTATGAGGCAGAGTCAGGAAAGTAAGAGGTACGGAGAGAGGAGATTTATGTTTTCTCCGATTTTATGCGTCGCTGTGTCCAGGTGCATGTGAATATCGAGCCCTAATTCTGTCTTCTGTTTATCTATACTGTAGAAGTAGACATTAAGTAAACAGGACGAATAACCACGCGACATGGAAATGAGAAGAGAGTCAGGCAACATAATATATAATATATGATACAGACTTTAAGTACTTTCTAAACTAACGTAGTGTACGTATATACACACAAACTCACATCTTTTGTCCTCCACACTTTGATGGTCCTATCTTGTGAAGCCGTGTAGACGAGTCCCTCCCCACCCATTTAATGCCCGTCACAGACTGGGTGTGGCCAGAGAGGACCATCACCGCCTTACACAGCACCACGTCCCATATCCTCACTGTCGCATCCTGTCATGGCAACAACAATCACATGATGGTCATGTGATCTAAAATTGCTCACAGCAAGTATTACGTTACCTTTGAGGCACTGGCCAGCAGTCTACAAGATGGATCCCTGGAAGATTGAGCAACATGAGCCATATTATAGTACAAGCCAAATAATCTGCTATGTGAACTTGCAGCACAACGCTATTCACATTGCAAATGCTATATATGTACCGTCTTCGGTCTCCATTAGAACTTCAAGTTGTGGTTGGTCTGTTTTGGTCAATGCATAGCTGTCTGTGCCCTGTCAGCACTAATGTATCCAACACCCTCCCAATGCAATGCTCTACTAGTCTGTCCGTGCCCTGTCAGCACTAATGTATCCAACACCCTCCCAATGCAATGCTCTACTAGTCTGTCCATGCCCTGTCAGCACTAATGTATCCAACACCCTCCCAATGCAATGCTCTACTAGTCTGTCTGTGCCCTGTCAGCACTAATGTAAAGCAGGCATACTCCAACACTCAATGCTCTACTAGTCTGTCCGTGCCCTGTCAGCACTAATGTAAAGCAGGCATACTCCAACACTCAATGCTCTACTAGTCTGTCCGTGCCCTGTCAGCACTAATGTAAAGCAGGCATACTCCAACACTCAATGCTCTACTAGTCTGTCCGTGCCCTGTCAGCACTAATGTAAAGCAGGCATACTCCAACACTCTCCCAATGCAATGCTCTACTACCCAGTGAGGTATATAATAGACTCACAAATGAAGGGGCTGCCAGGCGAGAGAGGTGATCCACTGTTTGTGACCAGAGAGAGTGTGTCCCACCTGTCTCCCTGTCTCTGCCTCCCACACACACACCTGAAGACACACACACACAAAAAACATTTTCACAGAGACTAAATTTGGAGATTGTCCATATAATCGCCACCCACAAAAATTTAATATTAGGATTACCGTACACACACATGTAAAAAAAATTTTTTAAAACAAGTGCTTGCGAAAAACGTTATGGAAACCTAGTAAGGCTGGTGGGCTATTGGCAAAGGGCATGCGGTGATATTTGGCGAAAATTCTACTAGTTATACGATCAATATATATACAACCTCACCACATCTACTGAAGATGGGAAACCGACCTGTCCATTCTTGCAGCCAGAGGCCAGTCTCTTCCCGTCCGGCGACCACGCAATGCACAGTATCCAGTGTTTGTGGGCCTTGCAGGTGTGCAGTGGGGTCTCGGTGAATATGTCCCACAGTCTCACCGTTGTGTCTCCAGACCCACTGGCAAGAGACCTGGGGACAAACTCTCTCTCTATTTCTCTTCCACTCCTTTCTCTGCCCCCTTTATATTATATACACCACTCCCTCCCTCTCTTCGTCTTTTGATTCCTCCCATTCCTCCTAGTCTCTCCCTCCCCATTCAGCTCTCCATCCCCCATACCATACACAGGAGAATTATATTTGTGGAGATTGATGATGTCACTATAACCTCACTTACCGTCCATCAGGACTAAACTGAACAGCAATCACAGCCTCCGAATGACCTAAGAACACACAAAAGTCAGTACAACATCATTGAAAAAATTCAACCCACTGACTATATACCTCCAGTTCACTTCATTATACCTTTACACTAGAGACCACATGAGACCCCACTTCATAGGTATGATACTATCTATGCCTACCTGGTATGCTGCTGGTACAGTGGGTGATGGACTGGACTCTGAACCTGGCCTGAGGCTGGTAGACAATCTCCACCAACCTCTCCGTTCCTCCACTGCCCCTCTCCAACACCTCAGCCAGACTCTCCCGTACCTCCAGCTCGTGCACGTAGAACTCATACACCGTCTCATCATCCTAAAGGCGTCAATACACGTCGTGCAACATCAATGTATGGGTGTATGGTGGGGGTTCACGTGATGTGACGACTCCACCCATAAATCGAATTGTTGCATGATGTATCACACAACACGGTAGTACCGTTAATGTTACCATCAGTCAACAGCTAGCGCCTCTTCGCCAACGAGCAAACAAGAGCGAGCTAGTGAGTTTGTACGACTCACGTTCTCTAGGACGGCGGTGCACAGAGCCGCCAGGGAGTCTTTGGTGACACCCAGAGGCAGGTCGAACGGCGTGCCCACCAACACGCCGTCCTCGCTCTTGAACTGAGCCAAAACTCGCTTCTCATCCTCGCCCGCTTCCATTCTCTTCGCACACGTGGTGTGGTTCAAAGGTCAAATTTTAAACACATGCGCTAAAGTATATACACATGCGCGCTATTGTTGTCCACTCTATCTCTGGTTCTTCCTCAAGCCCATCTTTCCCAGTGCCGCCGCATGCACCTCGTCTGGTCCGTCGGCCAGCCTCAGGATGCGGGCCAAGGAGAAGAACTGGGCAAGAGGTCTGTCTCCTGACAGGCCCATTGCTCCATGAGCCTATATAAGCAGAAGAGGGGAAGAAGGAGGGATGGTTATACAGTATAGCCCACCTTTAGAACCTCACACGGAGAACTACTACTATTATATACAAATGCAATACATTATTGCCGAGCAATTTTAACGTATGTGTGAGCATTTACGTATGGAAAGCACCGCAGCTTCTGATAAAAAAGATCGTGCAACTAGAGGTGGGTTCTCTTCCATTGGCAAATACAGAGAGGGCAAATTTCAAAGCACAGAGAGTGCCGTATTCATGCAGATTTCAGATGACTAGTGGGCTCGCTTAAATCACCAACTGTGTATACAGAAACTGCCTATAGTACATACCTGCATGGCTCTGTCGACCACTCTCTGGACCATCTGCGGTGCCACTACCTTGATCATTG